CAATAAACTTTTCGGCTAACTACAGGGAAGATGATTCAAATCACATTACCTTTCAAATCATCAATTATCTCCACAACAAAATGTAAAATTCCTCGGATTAATTTTGAATAAAAATCTTAACTAGGCATGTCAAATTGAAAATGTAAGTAAAAAATTAGACCCTCTTGCATTTTTTTAATAAGAATAATCTCACAAGTAACGAATCTAGAAACCCAGCTAATAATATATCATGCATATTTCTCATCATTATAATGATGGTATCTTGATCTGGGGTAACTCTTCAAAAAAGATTTTTAAACTACAAAAAAAAAAAATGATTGTAATCTTGCTTTTTCTAAGATGTCTGATAAAAGAGTGTCCCTAATATTAATATTTCACATGCCATTCAACAGTAAAAAATGTGAAATTTGAAAAATGTAGTTTACAGTAAAACCCCTCATATCCTGCCACTGCGGGACTTAGCCCTTGGTCAGATACCTATTTGGCCACATAAACCAACCTAGTCAATGCTTAGTTGAGCAATCACATATTTTTCTATATGGTAATTTTTCAAATTTGAACTAATTATGTTACAATTACAGTTTCAACACACAATATGGCATCGTCGGGGTTCCTACAGTGATGCTGTTCCACAATGGGCGACCTGCAGCCAAGTTCAACGACAGTGAACATACACTGGAGATGTTCACGAGGTTCATCACCAGACACTCAGGTATGTTGCTATTGAACACAAAACAAATTAAATATGGAAATAAATAAACATTTTAATTAGTTATACAGCTTGAAAAGTTAAACTCCTGACACCTATGAGTTGGGTATTTAGCCCACAATGATGCTGTGTCTTTGATCTTAGCTCACCTAAATGTGTAGATCCATGTATGAATTAATTAATCACTTCATGAAGGCACATACTTTGTGTACATATTTCAAGGTGAGGGATGTTGGGTGAGTGTAGAGTGTTGAGATTGAGATAATGTATGTACTGTACTGACTATGATTAGCTGCTTATTTATCCTGGACTATTTATTAGAAACCAAATGGTCAAGGTACAGGAACAATTGGGTCCAGTTTGAACCATCAAAGGATCGATTCAGCAACCTTCTGTTTACCAGGCTAACCACCTATAAACCCAACCAGACAGAGTAAGATAGTGTATGACTCGTTCAAATTTGATTTAATCTCCATCATCTAAAAGGTAAGTGTTGAAGTAGGTAGAGTTGTCTGTTTTTGTGATTCCTTTTCACAAAGCAAAACTGTACAATTATCGTTACCTGTTGTAAGATCATTGACTTGTCAAGTGACTCCACAGCTGTATGATGGTGTTTCAGGTATCCCACCGGAGGAGAAGATGTTTGTGACGTCAGCCGACTTCGGAGGTCCCGTCCCCTCAGTGGTGGCCAAGGAGACGGACTACTGGCTCGGTCTGGCGTGGCTCGTCATAGCTGTGGTGGGGGGAGTGGGCGTGGCCAAGTCTCCCATGTGGCACAACATTGTAGAAGCTGTGCAGAACTCGTGGCGAGAGGCCGAAGCGGAACAACATTTCCATGCGGATTGATCTCTCGCCTGGTGATGCGAAATATGTGTGCGTAGGAGATTTAAAGTTTAAAAGACGTAAAAACTGATTACAGTGTAATACGTTGTAATAATAAATAAAATACTTAGTACTACATCAAATACGTTTTGTAAGAAAGTAACTTATACCTACAAACTCAAACTAGATCACTTCATGGACATTAAAAATATACTAACAAAGCTTACATATAAGTTCATTTTAAAAAATCTGGGAAAAAAACAAAACAGCTACGAAGAGCCAAATAAGAATATTGGGAACTTTTACAAACAATAGACCACTCATTAACAAGAGAACATTGGCTTAGTAAAAACGAGAATGGTGTGAAAGATTTTACACTCATTTGAACAAATTTGTTCATGACCAATCAAGATGAATTGTAGCCTATATTGTTTTTTTGAAATTTTCTTTGTTATAAAAAACCAATCAAGACAATTGGTTAGTTTGTTTCTTAACAGTAAAATAAAAACCGTTTATAAAAACCGTTTTCATCACAAATCTTTAATTAGTTTTTGGATTTGTATTGTAATTATTGTATATATAGTAAGTTGTTTTGTTATTTAATAAAATGTGTGTTGTTTTTAATTAGCTTTATTACAGAATCCTTTGTTGTTATCATAATTGGTAAATTTAATTTGCCACTGTGGCTACTAAGAAATGATTGAAATATTATAGTGAAATAAATAATAAATCTTTGTATTTAGTAATTTATTATCACATATAAAAAATTATACTTCTTGTCTTTGAGTAAATTGTCATTTTTAGCGAATTTCCCTATAGGGAAGTAGCTATTACCGTAGGTGGCACGGTAAGACCTAGACCCGGGACCGATTTACTTTTTCATTTTGATGTCCCCAGAGGCCAAAAACACCATTCGTTCAAATTTTTATATATGTATATATATATATATATACGTCCGTGAACGCGATAACTTGAGTAATAATTTTTCTCCGATTTTGATGAAATTTGGTTTAAAGGTGTAAAGCAGGATAAACTTGAATGAGTTCGCGAACCAGCATGATCGGACCATGGGAACGGGGCTTTACGGGGGGTTTTATGGGGTAAAAATTGGTTTTTCTCACTTTTGACCCTCAAAACACAAAATTTCCCAATTTCTCTTTAGACCTTTTTAAAGAGCTTAAAAAAACAATTAATTTAGTATATAAAAGTATTTTTGTTCGGTTAATAGTAACGGAGAAAATTAAAAAAATTGTAAATTTAAAATTCCCATGTTATTCTTATGGAGAAGATTGTCAAATGTTGTAGTTTGCTTGTGTATATATTTTGTATTTTGATCAAATTTATTTATTTTGTACTAAGCTATCAATATTTTACAAAAAAACACACTTTATTAGTTTCCTTGTAGCAGCAAACCTAGGTACTCGTTAAACCTAATGTTATTAAAATATATTTAGGCTAATTGAAAATCAATTAAGACAAATGGAAATTCGCTTAGTCGGCAGGTTTGCTGCGGCGGGGGTATTTTATCTATGCACTATCCAGTTAATATTAATGAGGTTACTTTTTATTTTATAATAAAACATACGAGGTGTTAGCCCGTCCTACGTACGGGAGTAGTCAGTTAAAACTGTGTATAAATCAGAACAGCTAGCTTACACGTATAAAGACAAATTTTATGGCATCCTACAGTAGAAAGAGTAATTATCAATTGAGAAAGTGTACATGCCTAGTCAACGATATCACCTTCCAATTCCATCGCATACCTGCCTCTTCCATAATCAATATCAACACAATACAATTACTTATACTATACACAATTTCCAGTAGGTCTGAATAGAAACTCCCTAAAATAAAACGAAAACATCCAATAAAATTCACAGTACACATAATTATAACGTTGGTGTCCTGACATCATTAAACAAATCGTCCACACATCCTTTATATCAATTTCACTGCATCAATTGCTAAATAAATAAGTGTAAACAAAGAAAAGTAAAAACAACAACATATAGTTTGTTTTGGTAAACAGCTGAGCCAAAAAATAAAATAATATTCATTTAAACAAAAGAACTGGTCACATGTTGAAGGAATTTAAAACGTAAAACACGCTAGTAAAGCTAGTGACGTAATTAATTGTCTATGTTTATAATCCATGCCGTTATCAGTTCTAATATCCTTAATAATTAAACCACCCTCATTGAATCAATGTACACCGTAATTCCCCATATTCATTTATTTAAACTATAAAATATTCAGTGCCTCCAAACGTAACCACAACTAAACACACGCCAAACAATTTTTTTAGATTTCATAAAAGGATGGTTAGTCTAATTGCAGTATCCAAGGTCAATTATGACGTTGTGCTCAATCTATGACATCCATCTGTATATCTTTGGATAAAACCCGTCTGGGTTGTGGTGGTAATTTAAAATTGTATTCCTGATGATTCTTGATCTCCTTCTTTATGACATCAATATTTCCGGGCCTAATCCAAACAAAGTTTAATCATTCAAAAACATTGATTGTAAACAAACCAAGATGAATTAAAACGTGTAAAAAATGGATTTTCCTACCCTTTCATAAAAAAGTTGAGCAGTATAATAATTTGCATATCCTTTTTTTAAGACTCGTGTACAGAGCCTCGACTTGTATACATCGATGGTGTTACTCTTCTCGGTGGTCTACTAATCTTACTTATTTCCTAAAAATCAATGACAAATCAGAGTAAATAAAATAACCTCATAGTTATACAGAGCATTTTTATATTTAACCAGCTGTTGGTTAAAAGAAAATTATATTACAAAAAAAAACCGAAGATTACAAAGATTTATTTAAAAATCCTTTGAACATCCTAGTATTTTACCTATGTATATTTAAATAATCTGTCATCCTCTTATCGAAGGATTGAACGTATCAATGATTAGCATTACACATAGTATAAATAAGTCAACCCTTAGTATGTCTTTTAATTTTATCCAAATGCTGAATTTGTGTTACAAAAGCTGAATGTTTACAGCTGTTATGTTAAACAAATTATATTACACCAAAAGCTAGTTTAGAATCTTAGCGTCGGCTGCAAGCCTTTCAAAAATTAAAACTTAATTTCTAAATAACTGGGACCCTAAACTAAAATTATGGCTTCGACATTCCCTAGTTCTCAAAATTATTTTTCTCTCAACACAAAACTCATGAAAATCCGTTGAGTGGTTGATTCAGAATCGTGAAATAATAAAACACTGTTTCGTTTTAATAATATAGATTATCTTCATAATACTTGAAACTGTTTTGGAAATGTTTTTAATCAACCAATCAAAATTTTCAATTAAAATATATATTTATATTTCATTTTACTATGTTTAAAAAAATTCCAGCCCAATACCTGATATAGTTTAAAAATACCCCAGCAGTTCAAAGACAGAACGCGGTGCAGTCTAAAAATAAATCAGTCTCAGTTTGTTTTAGCGGCAGTAGAAGGTGATAGGTTGCTTCATAGCATTGTTGTGTCCAAAGTAGATAGTCAATATTCCATTGTATGATGGGAGGAAGTGATCCGTTGTGCGTCGTCTGCAGACAGAAAGGGCCTCTCACCTGCAGTTCCTGCAAAACTGTGTCCTACTGCAGCAAGGAGCACCAGAAACATGACTGGCCCAAACACAAGCAGCAGTGCAAGCCTTACGAGGTTACAATAGTTTAAATCACTTAAATGATAATAAATATTTATTGTTCTTGATTGATTACTGCTGATGTCTCAGATGCAGACAGATGTTAGTTTATACATTTTTTTTAAACACTTAAAATATAGTAAAAAAATATTTATGAACGACATCAAGTTGGCCAACAAATAATTAATTGCAAAAATTTTTCATGTGGTAAGCTATAGCACAGAGAAGTAAGGTACAGAGGAAACATTCAATTATACTATTCAGTGGTGTCTAGCACTGGTTCTTGTGTCTAGAGCAAAGTCCAACACTGCCCCTCCTTACCCTCATACACTACAATGCTCACGGTGGAAGAAGACCCTGTGTCCTGTGCAATAGAATTTTTAACATACCACAGCTTAAAGCTCACGGTCGTTCCATAAGCGTGTTTTCTCTGTACCTTAATTCTTTGAGGCTATAGTAAATTTAGGAATTCAGGATTATTTATTTATTTGGGTTTCTAAGATTAAACATCATCTAAACAAGTTAAAAACCCTGAATCCATATTGTTTTCTTCTATTTGATTATATTAGTTTTTTTTTTATTCAGAGGCTTCCTTGCAGGCTTCCTTGCACTGATTATAGCACGCCAAGTAGCTAATTGACTTACTTTGGCCGCACTCATTTTTTTTGCCGCACTCCAGTATTCCAACCAAACAACTCAAAACAGAGTGCTTTTATTAGGCATGTAATACGTGTATGCTTGAAAATAAGTTGGCAACACTTAAAGATTACTATGACTACGATCAGCTGGTGCAGTGTTTTCCATTTCGTTCAACGATTTGATCTTATCTAACCAAGTATAGTATTTGGAAGACTAAAAATATATATGCTGTATAGTAACAGTAGGAAAAATATAATGTGTAACGTGAGTGCAAAGTGCTACTTCGCACACTAGTTTGATTGATGATTGATTGTAAGAGGGTGGACTCATGGTCCAAGCACGTCAACCGAAGCTTATTGTGCATCCCACTTGCCACTAACTAGGTAAGCCTATGCCTGTGTCCCTAACTAGGTGCAGGAGCTTTTGCCCAATGTTAGCGTCTGGTTCCTCACCTGGCTGCTTTAGACCAAACAGAGCCCTTCTCCTAGCCTGTAGTCCATCGCAGTCCAGAATAATGTGTTTTGCAGTCTCATCTAGTTTAGTTACACAAATAACTACAAAAGAGATGTATACAATTGAACACAGTAATATTAACATCAAAATGTCTTTGTTCACAATAAACTGATTTTCCCGTTGTAAACTCACAGGTAAAGGTGAGCAAGGAGCTTGGCCGCTACCTCGTAGCCTCCCGAGACCTGGTGGCAGGGGAGGTTATCATGGAGGAGGCTCCCGTAGTAGCGGGGCCCAAACTGGCGGACCCCAGCCCTGTCTGTCTAGGCTGTCTGCGACCCCCGGGCCATGCTAGGTTAGTAGCTGGATTCCTAGTAATTAAGATCAAACAATAGCCACATTTTTATTTATTTCCCTATGTGATTTTAGCAGCAATTTTGTTTATAGTATCCACGCAAGAGAATTTTGTTGAAAGTATCACAAAAGTATTGAAGGGAAAGCAGTTCGAACTCCTAATTCTTTGTAGATATATCAGGGATAACACATCTTCTCGCACCATAGTCCAACACATGGACCACTAGGCACGTGTAGTTCGAAGGAGCCAATGAGGACAGTGCGGTGTTGCCAAAACTAATGATACCAGCTGATTTGAAAATTTTGTTTAGGAATTTAATTAGTGTTGTCAATGGGCAATATGGCAACGTCGCACTATCATTGTCTTGTGATTGGCTGCCGCCAACTGCAAACTTTCGTGGCCCTGACTGTAGTTATTTATAGGACTATTGTTTTATGTCTTTATATGTAGTCTGTAGAAGCATTAGCAATTGTATAATGAATACACAATAGTAAGTAACTGTCCTATGACTCCTCCTGAAAGATATCTACTCAAGTCTCAGCATGCAATGTTGAAAACTGCCCTCCTGCAAATCATTACAACCTAGTACAAGACACTGCCTCTAAAGCCTGAGATAACATTATCTACCCCTGACTGACCCACTGTGAGCAGGTGTGACCAGTGTGGCTGGCCAGTGTGTAGTCCGATGTGCCCTGGACTACGAGATCCTCACCATCACGGAATTGAGTGCAAATTGTTGTCTCTCTCACCTGTCACAGACACTCGGCAATGCAGGTTAGTGCATCCATGTTGTGTAACAATTAGGTAATGAAACAATACTCTCTGGGACACTGTCTCTTTATTGTAGCTATCTACTGAATTGTTTATTTTTTAAAGATAGGCCAATTTGTGCTTTATTTATTTTCAAATACCGATATATTGGCGACTTAGCCAATAACATGAAAAATCCATGACATATAAGTCTTATATTGTTATATTCAGCCTTAAGTTAGCTACAACATTCTCTGTCGCTCTGAGCTGGAATTTTTAAAAGTATTTAAGCTAAAATATTTAAAATTTTTTTAAATATTTTAAAAATCCTTTTTAAATATGTTAAAAAACTTTTACAGTGAATGTGAAATATTGGTTTTTGATGACACACTCATAGGGAATCTCATAAAATGTACAATAATGTTAGTACCTATAGATCTTTACCTAGAGGGTTTTAGGATTGTTTTTCAGGTCCTTAATAATACAACCGAAGCTATTATATTACAAATCGTTATGGAGCCTTCTTTAACCCCCTCCAAAAAGTAAACAAACGGTATCAGCAAAATTACACACATACTTTCTCCCATTAGCTTGTCAATATCCGTTATAATGGGTAAGTGGGGGTAATTTTATGGGTGAAATTTAAATAACTCGTTAATTGTAATTTTTAACAACTTTATTTTGGGGAAGGGGGACATTGTGTTTAGGGTAAAGTTAATAGGACCGTAACAAACTAAATTTCAAACAAAATCGTTCAAGCTCTTTTTTGTAAAAATCAATTCATTTATGGGGTTTTACACTAATATGAAAATTGTGTGTTGCAGATATGAGTGTATTTTGCCACTGCGCTGTCTTCTACTGCAGAAGCGCAATCCTAAGAAGTGGAAAACAATTATGTCACTAGAAACTCACATAGACCAGAGAGGACCTTCAACTGAAGTTTACAAGTTAGTACTTCTTTGGTATTGATAAGTTTGACAAAAATTCACATTTGTAAATGGATTTATTTGTAGTTGTACTACTTGTGCTGGGTGAAAATGAGAACTACAGGAGAAAACTTTTTAATGTATTCTTCCCATGACGAGTTTATAAGAAATTATTTTATAATTAAATGATTTAACCATTTGAGTCCTAGAGGCTAATATGTCAGCCACCAAGAATATCCTAACCAAACATCGTTTACTAATCTAGGCATAAATAACAAAAATCTTTTAAATCCATCCCTGACCTAATAAACTGCAATCTAGGGGTAAATCTTAGGACTGCTATGATTTAGCAGTTTATTTTGAGTTAACTAAATTTGATATTGTGGTCTGACCGATGTGTGAGTCGTTTTAAGTGTTTTCCCTGGCCCCAACACCTTAGATTGAGGTTTTTTATCCCATCTCAGGTCCAATGAAAACACTGCTCTGGTGATATTTTTGTAATAGACCCGAAATTGCAATAATGACTAAATGTGTTATTACCTGTGATGTAGTTCCAAAAGTAACTATCGTGTTACTTGTTTTGGCAAGATGCCATCGTCAGACACTTCAGTCCAGGGAGTACATTGAATTTGCTTGATTAGCTTCTTTGATGTTTAAACACCGTACGGATACACGTTCAACACTTGACACATAAGGATACCACATCAAAATAAATAATTTGTATGAAGAGATATCCTGGAAACACCACATTGCCGGTACCCGAGCAGTAACAGACTGTTGGTGGGTTCAGTTCAAGTCAGCGCTCAAATTGATAAAATGATTGAGCGCTGACTTGAATCCTCTTTTTTTTAGAACTGCAAGACAGGTAATAAAAACCCATTTAGTTGCTCTGGTGAAATGAATTTCACAAAAAAAATTTAAAAATGTATTTCATTATTTTTTTATAATGTAAAAAATGTATTTCATTATGAAATTCATGAAAAGTACACCTATCTGTGTTAAAAGCTTGGTGGTGGAAGTTCACCTAAAATAAATAGTGAATGGATCAAGTGGAAGTTTATAGGAGTAAACTGTGTGAGAATGTTGTAATATTTTAAAAACATATGAACTGTTATTATGCCTAATTTAAATTATGAATTTCTTTGCTGTCTAACAGTTGATCTTTGTTGTCTATCTACATTTTGTATTTGTATGTTACAAATCTTACTTGACTTCAGAGTTTTATTTGCACTTCAGAGATCCAGCTCAATTCAGGAGTTTTAACAACTTTTTGCTTGTATCCACCAACAAATTGTTTAGTAAGAAATTGGATACTTAGGATTGTAGTATGAGGGACACCTAGATATCAATAGCTATAATTGAATTATTAATGTAACGACTAACGATTAAGTAATCCCTGTAGCTCAAAATATCAAGCTTGTACATTAAAAATGGATTCACCTTCTACATCAACTGGATCCAATCTGAATTTTATTTTCAGGGAGCTGAATGAAAACGTAGTCAACTACTTGATCCAAAACTACCTCTCCAAGCTAGACAGCAGTGCACTAGATGACATGTCACCAGATGTGATCCACCGTATCTGTGGCGCTATTGATGTGAATGCGATGGAGATTCTGGAGAACGACATGGAGGTGTTGGCCATCCTGCCTACAGCCTCCATCATGTGTCACTCGTGTGTCCCCAACACTAAACACACCTTCCGCAACACAAGGGTGACTGTCAGAGCTGCTGTCAACATTCCCAAGTAAGTGACACGAAATTGACCAGTTTTTGATAGTTTGATTCTAATATATAATTAATATAATATAATTTTGATAGTTGATAGTTTGATAGTTGATTCTAATTAATCTCAGTTACTGAGGAAAGACGTTTAGGGAGCATACAGTTCTAGAGAACAATACAAACTTGTACTCATACAGCTTCATATTTTGTGAAGTGTGAAGTATAATTAGGAAAATACAAGATTTACCATCATTAACATTAACACCTAGTACCGGTTATTATCTGTGTATTACAATAGTATTTGACGAAACAAAAAGAGTTAGTCATTTGATGAAGCAGGGGTTTTGGTTTTGTCTCACATGGTAATCAGGTGGACCAGCTAGATTAGCAAGGGAAGAAAAGATCGTGGTGTTATACTCCGTTCACAAAATTGAGGCAGTTTGAGGGGAAGTACCCCCACTACTTATTTTTTCTTAATGTATATAGTGTAGCTGATTGATGTATGGCAAACATCAGCTGTTAAGCTATTGTTTTAAAGGTAGGATCAAGTGGAGGGGATAGATTTCTTCCCCTAAAACCGCATACATTTTGTGAATGGAGTATAGTATCAGATTTGAACGAATTTGCGTGGTTGAAATTTAAAGTTTGTTGTAGGGAGACCTTAATTCACGGCTAGTCCTCATATTAGGACTAAAATTGCCTTATTTGCGTTCACATTTTTAGGTGATTTGTGACTTTTAATCTGATAGTACACAGAAATATAGGCTTACAACCACCAATACATCTAATCTTACAATTTTCCTGATTTATCCAGAGGACAGGACGTCACCCTGATGTATACTCACATGTTATGGACCACCCAAGCCAGACGGGAGCATTTGCGGAACACCAAGTACTTTGACTGCTGCTGTCCGAGGTGTTCTGATCCTACTGAGCTTGGGACGTATATCAATGCTCTACGTTGCCTGTCCGAGACTTCCCAGGTACTGTACAATATCTACAACTCCTCAAGGTAAGAAAGACCATTCTTTGCAACTTAGTAGGAGGAATTCATCTTCCTGAAGAAAAAGTGATTGATAAAATGCAGTCATTCATCAAGTACTTGGACTTTGAAGGTCTTTAAAGATATTAAGTGAATGAGGTGTTCAACAATCCAATACACCTAGGAGGTGTACACCTCAGATTAAGCACCTCAGCCCGTCTCCCTCAGATGGATAGATACATGCACCAACAGATCACAACACTGGTCAACAAAAAGTCCAAACATCAGTCATAATCTTTTGTTTGACCACATTGTATGTTTCAGGGAAATGTCTGCGGAGGTTATCAATACCCTAAGAATCCTCTGGATAACAACTGTGTTTGGTCCTGTGACAGATGCCCGATGTTTCTCACTTCCCAGGAAGTCTGTGAGCTCATCTCTACTTTGGACGTACAAGTAGAAAACATCCAGTTGGTGAGCATACTCGATGTGATCGTCAAAGTTATTTACCATTCAAACCTGGTCTTTTATTTAATTTCCGTTTTGATCGGTCAATCTTTATTCTTTATTGTGATCTCAACATTCTCAACCACCCTTGGCATTTTTCATTCTTTTTCCAAATGTACTACATGTCTTTACTTGTTTCTGTATTTTTGAGGGAAGGATTTTCAGTTTACAGCTACCTCACTGCAAGGTATTATTATAAGTCTCAGGTCAATCTAGGATCAGGAACTTAAAGTTAGAGTGGCATTTTGCCCCTTGACAATTGCTACTCAGATAATCTAAATCAAAAGTGGTTAGATCCTTGCACTTTGTTGCAAGACCGAATGATTAGTTGGTTGCTAAGATGTCTTAATGAGGTTTATTTAGAGTTTTACTTATATATGTCAATTATCATACCCTACACTAAATATCACTGACAAGAAAATGTATTGTTCCTTCGCTTTTCTATAACTGTTCAGGTAAGTTAGCTATGAATCCTTTCCTCAAAAAATACACTTCCTTTGATTCATTCAGCCAATAACGATATCTTTTTGTAACCCCTTCATATTAAAAATTTACCAGAATATTTTTAGTAAACATTTACATATCTACCATTATTCAAATTGAATACTGTTTGGTGTTTAGGGATGTCTGATATTAGCGCATATTAAAACATTGAATGCGGAAAATATATCAGTTGATCCTTCCCCAGGTCCTGAATTTTTTTTACATAAAATCTTATTTTTGTTGCTCGAAGTGAGGATCCAGGTCAGAAAAAGTGTTTCGAGCAGTTTTTTCCAATACAAATGGCGTCCATTCAAAATCGCCGGTGCAAGGCACCGTGACAAAAATACTCCATTTTTGGTCTCACAAACACTGTTTTTCACATTAAAAATGTTAAATAGCACTCAAACTAATATTTACAATTATATATACAGCCCCTTCCTCCCTCCCAACCATTGTTTATTTCAATAACAGTGAATCAAGGAACTGATTACAATTTGGTATTGGGGAGTCCATCTTTATTGAAAGGCACAATAATAAACTATAAAATATATTGTTGTGTCATATTAAAAGCAAAAACACAAAAATACATCAATAAATTGTGCAGGGGGGAATTTACCAGCCTCGGGAGACCGGCACCGGTCCGTGGGAATGGCGGTTGAAAAAACACACACAGTAGGGCGTATAGGTTATGTAATGCTAGCAACGCACACACAACTCCGGTCCTTTCCACAACGTTGCGTCACACTGAGTGATTCATTTTAGCGGGACCTGGCCGGGCATAGGTGACAGGGCCAGCCTGGGCGCGCGTTCGGCAGCCGTTCCACGGTGACCGGCCAGCACTCAACGTGTAATAAAAATCACATACAGGAATATTATGGAATTACAATTTTACTATCTAATGGAACTAAAAAGCAAACTAAAGAAGAAACCAGATTATTGTGGATACTTAGGTTGACAAACTTAGCAAACTAGACATATTAGTTAACTACAAACAGATGCAGCATAGACTACTTAATATACCAAAAATGTAATTAATATTTATTTTTGTACTCTTTGAAATCCTAACCAAAAAAAATTGCACTTGCAGTCATTCTAGATTGTCTTCACTCATTACTTCTGTCTGCAAACAATTGTTCTTATCAATTTGACGCAAATCCACTTTAGTCTGTAGATTTTCCATTCTAGGAATACAACCATTTATACTATACTTTTCTTTTACATTAATTGTGGTTCGTTGTTTAAATTTACTACCATAAAGTTCCCTTTTCCATTCTCTTAATTAAATAATTTTACAGTTTTAATTTGACACTACATTAGCAATCCAAGATATTTTACACCTAGATATTTTTTTCAATGTTCTTTCTTATGTCAAGCTATCCTTTACCATTAAATAAAAAATGATTTGAAAGAAGCTTAAAATTTCCAAGATTTAACTTCACTTCACTCATCTTTACAAGTTTGTCTGAGAACAAAGCGATTACACAACTAACTTTACTTATGTACTTGGAATAAAACTTTTGAGGAAGAGTTAAGCGGAAGTTGAATCTTGAGATAATCGCTTCTTCCAAATCGACTCTATCACTGTGTCTTTCTGTTCATTCAGTTTTCTAAATGTTCATGCTTTAGCCTTTAACAGCTGCTTCATTTACTTTGTTTGCTTTCCATACTGGCTATGTACTACTTGGGTCTATCTTATACCAATTGCCCTGGAGCTACAAAAGAAGCACCATTCGATGTGTGTGTTTCTGAAGTAAGTCTACACCATCTCTGTTTTTTGTGACGTTCTTGTCGTTTTTTGCTTTTTCCAGTTTTTGTCTCAATGTCTAGTGCTGTACATGAGGAGAGAAATGAAGCTTATGTTTTGGATTTGTAAATAAGAATCATCCATTTTCATGTTAAGTTTTAATTTTGCATGATGTTTCTACAAACTTTGGAAATATATAGTATAGATGTTTTTGTGAAATTATGAAGTATTGCATCTGTGAAATATTGTACAGGTGTGCCATTGTACCTTTGCTTAGTGTAGAGGTAGATTTTACTAGTGTGCAAGTAGTAGTTGTAGTTTGTGAAGCAGGCTTTATAAGAATGCATTTCGTGTTCAGTTGCAACGTTTTAGCACAGCCATTAGTTTGATTATAGATACTGTAGCTTATCATATTGTAGGAAAATTGTTTTGCTGTTTTAGCAGACCTTTAAGAAGGTCAGTCATTTCATTTTATGTAGTCAAAAAAACAAAGGTAAAAACATTATTTGACTGTTCTATTATGCTTAGCTATTATATCAAAGTAAAAAAAAAAAAAATAATACCGATAAAAAACCTTTAGTAGTTATTTGTCTTTGCTGAGTAGAAAGGAGTAGCCTAGCTATATAATTTAACAACATTTTTCAAGGCCTTTAAGACAAAAGGAACAATTACCAAGCATGGTAAGAAAAATTCAACCATAAACCTTTTACAAACTTGAAAAAAATCCAGTTCACTGCTTGCTTTGCTTAAAACATTCTCCCCTAAGGCCTATTAGGACTGGGATATGCAAAGTCGAAAGAGGTCGCCTACCTGGTTTAGCAAGCTTTGAAGTAGACCTTATGAGTTAATCATGCAAAAACTTTTGTAGCAAAAAAGTTTGTTTAAAATACGAGTTTTTTGTGAAAAAGAATAACAAATTTGGACATTTCCAGAACCAACCTACAGTAGACAGCCTGGAAGATCTTCTTGGGAAGCTGGAGACAGTTCTACATCCTCACCACTATCTGTGTTATAAGATCAAACACTCCCTGATACAACTGTATGGCCATCAACCCAGTTATCTGCACTCTGATCTTAACGAGAAGGCACTAATCAGGAAATCAGGTACTGGAACATTGCAAATGTACTTAGTTCTTTCATTCTTCCTTGCTTTCTTAGAAAAATGATCAAACCTGGAGATATCATAGATTAGTACATACCAAATTAATATGACAAGGTGAGTTGGGGGCTCAGTCGGGAGCATCACGGACTTAAGGCCTAAGGCAGCAATGTCGTGGGTTCGGATCCTGATCAATGCCATTTCATTTCATATAACTTTATTCATTTAAGTACATACATAAATACAGGAATGGCGTCAAGAGTAATTTAATAAAACTAACTTAACTAAAATACTCATCATTATCATACATGGCATAACAACATACCATCAATATAAATAGCTTTCCAGATCAAATAAAACAAGCAGTGCAATATGAAAGTTTATACATGAAAATATCAAAATTAAAAATACAGATAAAATTATTTTAAAACCAAAAGTTTCAATTTAAATGAAATAGAGCAATTAATAACTAGAATAATATAGAACTAAAACTCTTCAAAGGAGTACATAGCCTTGTTGATAAGAAACTTTTTCAATTTTGATTTAAATTTATTTTTGGAAGTTTCTAATTTAAGCCACCAATTTTCATCAGTACAGTTCATCCTTGTACTGTACTGGCTTACCCCTTCCTTTGCTGGTTACGTTCTACGCACAGGTACATAGCCAATGTGGACCAATGCCAGGTTTAAAGAGGCCGCCAATCTCTAAAAAAAATATCAAAATCGCCAAAATCGGAAATCGGACCATATAGGTGTAGTTCGTAAACCACTTTTAAGTTCAGGGGAAACCCAAAACGGTTATTTCTAACCAAAACTCATCTAAAAAGTTTTGACAAAAATAATATTTTCCACATGTAGAGGGAAAAAGTAAAAATGAATACATAACATTTTTATGTGCAAAAACCCTTACCAGATGTTTCCATGGCTGTTCCAGACATTTGTCGTGACTTGATCTCAGTTACAAACAAGATAGACCAAGGCCACGGCAGGCTGGGGCTGTACTCCGCAGTGCTCCATTTTGAACTCCACTCGGCTCTCATGGAGTTGTACTCGCGCAGGAAAGACATCTCGCTGCTCCGGGAGGCCAAGGCGTCGCTGGAGGAAGAAATCGCTTTCCTCCCGTCACAGGAAGGAGACAATTCTCCAGAGTACCGGATGAGAGAACTGGCAAAGAAAGCTCTCATTGACGTGAACAAGGTGCATAGCTGTGTCAGTGGGAGTAGTTAGTTCTTATCAGTTGTAAAGTTGTAATGATTTGATTTGTAATAAACTTTGAAGTTTTTTCAGTGGTTTTATGTAACTGTTACCTTGGTAGGAGAAATTTTGTAAAGTGATATAATAATATTTTAAAGAGTACTATTTCTGCAAACATTCTTACAGTGTATTTACAATTCCATTCGCCGTAGGTTGAAGAACTTAAAAAACATACTTATATTCTACAATTTGAACTTGATTCACAATTATTATATATACTGTAAACAGTCTTGATGTTTCTTCATGTATATGAAATAGCCTTGCTGCCAATATAGGGTAGTAAAATCCAAGAGTCGAGAAGTACAAATTCATTGACTATCATCAGGGTAATATTAATTTTTAAACAAAGTGGAAGACTGTAATTTGAATAAAAAACTTTATTAAATATTAGTATTTTACAGAACAGTCTTATTATTATGATACAAACTATACAATATAAAATATACCCAACAACACAAGATACACAAGTACAATAGTAATACTACATTATAAAAATGCATTTTGCTTCTTATAAAGTTTGTATTCATCGTACATACTCTAATACCTATTTACACAAGCCATAGGGCTAAGTCTAAAAAAATTAGTTTAAAAGTTCAATCCCTTCAAAAGCTTAATGATGTTTTTTCACTTCCTTTTTGTCAACAGCGTGATAAGTCTTATGGACAGGTTCAGGATCAGGTCGTCTAGGGCATGGTCCAACATTTATTGTTTCATAATCTGAAAAATTAAAAAACCAAAATTTATTAATTTATTAAGAACCACGATACAAAAAACTGTTTCGTCTGAAAAAATGGTCTAACATTTTATGTGCAATTCAAAATACTTAGTATTTTACGATGTGTTGTATGTTTTAATCATCAATGACAAAACAATGGCAAATGTAATGTAGTTCTTGAACATGTCTCGTTGAAACAAGTAACACTGTGCATTTTTGGGACGCTGACAAGGAATTTGTGATACTTGTGTACGTTAATGATTTATGGCAGTTTTTTTAGTTACCAGTTCCATAACAGATGTTGTGCCGCAACATGTAGCATGGACTGTGGAACTCCATCATGAGGCCGCGATTGCTCACAGCGCAGATAGGCTTAGTGTCAAAACACATGTTAGAGCAGATAGCAAGCGACTCTGTGTCATCTGAAAAATATAACTCTTGAATTGTTAGGTAACAAAGATAGTATTGTGTACAGACATTACAATTAATTAGTAAATCAAAGATTTTACAACACTTAGAGAACATAAAATTAATTACCAAAAATGGTCTTCTAAGTATTAAACTGTGAAGCACTGGAGGTTGCTGGATCCATCCTGAGAAACCCCTGAGCTTTTTGATGGTTCAAAACTGGGCCCAGCTATTCTTGATCATTGGGCTTCATATAAATGATTATATAAACTAGGTGTGCAATGCAGTTGTATGCTTGCAATATTGAGCGGAGCTAGCATATTAATCCAATACTTTTCTAAAGTCAATTTTACATCTGTTCCTCGCAAATGAGATTAAATACTTGCAGATCCAATGTCAATGGTATATTTGGTTCACTTAAATGGAATGTCTATTTGCAGTATTCTAAGTCAATTATAAGTCTGGTTCACGCAAATGAATTGTCTACTTGCAGGAACCAAAGTTTATGTTTCATCTGGTTCTCATATATTAAATGTCTAATTACAGTATCCAATGCCAATGATACATTTGGTTCGGATAAATAAAATGCCTATGACGGTACGCCATTGACGGTTTACATAAATTGAATGTCTATTTGCAGTATTCCAAGTCAATGATACGTCGGGTTCACGTAAACGAATTGTTTACTTGGAGTATCCAAACTCAGTGGTGCATTTGGTTCATGTAAATGAATTGTCTACTTGCAGGATCCAAAGCAGTGGTTCATTTGATTCACATAAATGGGGTGTCTATTTGCAGTATCCAAAGTCAATGGTACGCCTGGTTCACGTCAATGGAATGTCTACTTGCAGTATACAAACTCAATTGTATGTAGGCCTAGATTTGGTTCACATAAATGGAATGGCTATTTTGATTATTTAAAGTCAATGGTGCATCAGCCTTATTCCGCCGACCATAATTATTGGTATTTCATTTTGTAGTAAATTATACTCAATTATATTAATCCGATTGTTCTTCCCTTTTTCTCTGTACGGTATTTGTAATATGCTATTTAGATGATTCGTTAACTAACATATGTTGCGACTCTTGTTTACCTTTTTATTGTTACCTCGCAAATAATGTCATGGCAACCAATTAACCCATTAGGCCCATGTTAAATTTACAAAAGTTTGAATTCACGTAGAGAAAAGCCCTGTAGTCCGATTTGTACCATTTCAGACTTATACCTTCCCATGGTTGGTCACTATGATTGTGCTAAATTTGGTGCAGATCGCTTCTGCCGTTCAGGAGGAGTATTTGTAAAACAAAAGCAGGAGTGTAGTATAAGAGCTTCGCTTCGCTCCGCTCAATGATCCTAGCTAATGAAACAGCTGAGCGTATTGAGTAATAAAGAGACAAAGACCATCTCACAATATTCTACACTCATCCTTCACTCATATTTGGGTTAAAATATGCACCTAGGTGACGTCCGCATCTATATATCTTAATAGGCAAGCATGTTTCTTTAAAACCTTTTTTCTGAACTCGTGTGCATCGCAGGGAAAATCTACGCATACTGTTAATAAGATATTTTCCTGTAGATGTGGGGAACCCCTTTAAAAATTGAAATAGGCTCAAATATAAGCACAAAAATAAATTTAAAATAAAGAAATTAACATGGGCTTTAAGGGTTGCCATGCTGGTGACAAAATAACAACGAAATATAAACAGAAAATAAAAACAAATGGAAGAAATTATTAGAAAAGGTTTAAATACCTGCTATTAAGCAATCCAATTTTGTTGCTAGAACAACTAGTTTTGGTGTCTGTGTGACACCATCATCAGGCTGCACAAGGACAGTTTTCTTTCTTCATACGAAGAGCGTCATATTTACACGAAAATAAATAAACATTTAAACACGACACAAACACGAATACGAGACATTTATGGTAACTGATCAGTTAAGAAAACAGACTACGCTAACCCGGTGGAGCTTGAGTCCAGACTGCAGGTGGTCAGTGTAGTGGTGTACGTCCGTTATCTTATCATCCCAGGTTGCGTCCTGTCAATCACACCTCCCCTCTCCAGTAAACCGATGGCAGTGTCATACATAAAATTAGATGAGAAAAGTTGTTGGTCATTGAGTACATTATGGTGGTCGGATTTTACTGCCTTATATATCTCAAACTCTTCCAATGTGTTAAGTTTATATCTGTCTTTAAAAAATGTAGAATATCCATATTGCTGCTGATGTTGGTATAATTGTGGCCTTGGGATATTAAATGTTCGACAAAATCCTCTGAGAGCATATTCCAAAAGCGTCAACAGCCCACCAAACATCATCTTTTGCCGTCATTTTATGTATGACACTGCCCTCGGTTTACTGGAGAGGGGAGGTGTGATTGACAGGACGCAACCTGGGATGATAAGATAACGGACGTACACCACTACACTGACCACCTGCAGTCTGGACTCAAACTCCACCGGGTTAGCGTCGTCTGTTTTCTTAACTGATCAGTTACCATAAATGTCTCGTATTCGTGTTTGTGTCGTGTTTAAATGTTTATTTATTTTCGTGTAAATATGACGCTCTTCGTATGAAGAAAGAAAACTGTCCTTGTGCAGCCTGATGATGGTGTCACACAGACACCAAAACTAGTTGTTCTAACAACAAAATTGGATTGCTTAATAGCAGGTATTTAAACCTTTTCTAATATTATTTGGCAATCCGGAGGCTAACAACTACAATGAAGGAAGAAATTACAATAAAATCACATGTTTTATTTACAGCGTGGGGTGAAAAAGGAGAAGCCTTTACCATTGACTTACAACTAGACATTCCATCCCCATGTTGTTGCCAGTCTTTAAATTAAATTTGTCATAGTTGATGTGAGCCACCAACAGATTGCGCTAATTTCTGTTGAATACATGATTTTTTTAACAACTCAAACTTATGGAATGTCTTGTTGTGAGCTGTAGCAACTGTTATGACCTGTTATGAACTTTGTCAGAAACAAAAAATAATGTAGAAAGTATGATTTTAGACACGCATTCAGTGACTGCCTCACACAACTACATGTTTTTTAATTTAAAAAATTGTGACAGCTGGTCCATATAGATGGAATGTCTATTGTCTACTTCAGTATCCAATAGTCAATGTGTGTACATTTAATATTTTTGGTTGAGTTTTCAACCACTGGACGACCACTAGTCTCAATTAATTGATCATTGTAACCAAATGGCAGCAGAGTAAAAAATCTATCTGCCTTAGAACTAAATCAGAACCTTAATGTAGTAGAAACAAATACCCAGTAAATGAATATGACGTATTATTATGCACAAATGTCATTTCAAGAGTAGTAGAAGTCAACAAAGAGTATTTTATTGTTATGTATTTAGATAAACTAAATAATCATAATACGTAAGTTTAAAAATAGTATTTATTTACCTGGAGTAATACCAAGAAGTAAAACTGGGAGAAGTAGCGCTCTCATCATCTTTGCTCAATGGAGTATAACAAACTAAAATGCTGAGTTTGTGACACTGTTATATAATTCAACTCTATCTTGATGGTTTATTTATATGACCACTTTATTATACACGCCCCCAATTCATAATATCAAACATTGATCATTATTTACTGAGTTAACAAAACAGATTGTTTATTGTTTTAGATGACATATTTGTACGCAGTTGTGAATGAGTCATAGAACTGCTTCGCTGCTAAAATATTTGGGTCAGAAGTGACGGAAGTCATTTTCATTACAGTAGTAGTTACATCACTTTTGATGTTAAAGATTGTAGTTATGAAGTCAAAAATATTTAACCTTGATAACCCGGAAATTGTTATTGTAATGATTAAACAAATTTAAAAATAATTGTATTTAAAACTTTTTTCAATATTTAAATTGAAATCCCTCACTATAACCATAGACAAAAAGAATGAAATATAGACTGTCAGCCGTCCTGCGGTTGCCATGGTTACCATAGGTTCCGGCGCACACCGCTGTAGTTTACGTAGCGCGTACGCCGTACCTACCGTGGTGCTCCAAGCGGTGTGCGCCAGAACCTATGGTAACCGCAGCACAGCTGACGGTCTGTATTAAATTCTTTTTGTCTATGCTATAACTGCCAAAATGTTCATTAAAAAAGTCCTTTAATAAAACAGAATACTGTTACTGAATCATTAAGTATATTATATCAAATTAATAATCTTTTACAATTCATTTGAAAAGACTAGTCAAAGCTATTGCCAATCTGATAATTTGTTTTTTCCAAATCCTGCAGGACATCAATAAGGTCTTTGGTCACAGTTGATGCATAGCCTACAAAAATATCAATGTGGTTTTAGGGTTCTTGACATCTATTTGGGTTTTTTTCAAACTATGTCTATCCATGTTTGCCTCCTGGATTGATAATGAGTAATAATAATAATAATAGGTTAAATACCTTGCTTACGTCCTCAATCCAAGTCGTCTTTTTATAATGAGTTTCGGGGCCAACAGCTCCATTGTAAAATTGTCTGTCTTGTTAATTACTGTTACCGGTACACTGACTGACTGATTCATGTTAGCCGATAGTCTACCCTTCTTATATGTGAATTTCAACGATGACCAAAGCTATTAACAGTAATAATTAACAAGACAGAAAATTTGACAATGGGGCTGGGCTGTTGGCCCCGAAACTATAGTCATTATAAAAAGACTAATTGGATTGAGGACGTAAACAATAAGGTATTTAGCCTATTATTATTATTATTATTACAAACTATGTCATTAGTAGTCAATAACACAAAAAAGTAACTGTACAATTTATTTATAATTTGCCTCCAGGGTTAATTAAATAATAAAAATAATAGGTTACTAACCTGTCGTCAATCAATCATCAATCAATCAATCAATTGTCTAGTTTCCAGCGGTTTTCTCCTTGGTTGGCCTCGCATGTTTTTTATATTTTTGTAAATCTAAATGCTTCTTTGTGTTAACTAATTTTGACAATGGCAAATGCAAGAAGATTATGTTTGACAATTTGAGAGAAAAGGATTTGAAAATGGGGGTATATCCCATTGGGGAAGGAATTAATGCGCTGCTTGCAGCACCCTCTGTCGGCAATTAATTTGACAAAATTTGTAGACTTTTACTCTAATTACCATAGAAAGAAAACCTTAGGTAATAAATTAATAATTCTTTCACCATTTTGTTCACAGTAAAATTGTCTACAGAAAAGTGGTAATTGGATAATCAAAGTGTAAAACTAAAAAAAACTAAAATTATAAAGTTTATAGAATTAAAACTTTTAAAAACAATTTTTTTTAAGTAAACTTGATATACAAATTCCAAGATTAATCCAGACACCAAATAACACTACTATAAAGTTCAATTGAATCCATACATAGAAAAATCAAAAGCTGTGTACTTTTATCCTACTAATATTATAAATGAGAAAGTTTGGATGTATGTATGTTTGTGACAAGTAAACGTGAAAAATACTGGTCGGATTGGGCTGAAATTTGGCATGATGATAGCTCACATTCCCGATTAACATATAGGCATATTATTATCTCAAAAATCCTTTCGGGCTCTGCCCCAGTGGCTCTGCAGTTCCCCATGTTAACCTTATGAGTATTCATATTTAAAGGGAATTAAAACATTTAACCAGCTGTTTCAACTAAAAGAGTTGGTTCTATGATATGCAATTAAAAATTTATAAGATTTACCAACAGGGTGCAGCACTATTATTTTTTCATTTTTTATGAAATCAGCTAATTCGAACTAAGCAGCAACAAAACACTGTGATACGCAATGAGAACTGTCAAAGTAGGATTGTTTACAGTATGGTATGTTTTTAATTTCATGAATAATTTGTGATATTTTGCGAATTTTTAATAATCTATCTTTCTCTATTGTGTAGGTGAAGTGGTAGAACATTATGGCTATGGTAGATGTATAATACTGTAGCATACCGTAAATTTGAGGAAGCAAATTTTCTTAAACTGTGTCTTCTCACATTGCAAAAGTAAAGATCGAGTATAACTGCAATAAGCATTTTATACTTATTTGCCAACCCCGTACGAAGGACGGGTACTCTGCTAGTAAGTAATAATGAGAAAAAAAAATTGTTTGCTTACCTTACCACAGCTGATTTTTGGTGATATCTGGTTTCCATGGTAACACAAAATTGTTTGTTATTCGCTAAAATAAATGAGTAAATACGCAAATCAAGAAGCAAGATATTTATATTTATAAACATTATAAAAGTAAGAAGAAGCAAAAAGGGAGGAAAATAATAATAAATTAAATAACTAGTGGCGCTGCGTAGCGGTGACACGAGCGGCACTCGTAAGTCGGCAGTCGGGCCTGGCGGAGGGAAGGAGACCATTGGGAAGGCCAAGGATGAGATGGATTGACGAAGTTACAAAGGACCTAAGGAGTATGGGAGCAGACCTGCAGCTGGCAGAGGACAGAGGATCCTGGAGGCACATGGTTTTCCACCGCCTTGGTTTTCAATGGCCACAGGAGTAAGTAAGTAAGTAACTAAGAAAATAATCTCGTCTTCGTCCAAAAAACTTGTTGATGATAGAGAGTTTCTGATTAGGAACTCACCAGCCAATAATAATAATGGGTTGAACTTCATGATTGAGGGGAGCAGGATTGCAATGGCGTTCTATTTTGAAATTTGCAATGTTTTGGGGGTATATTTATTTTAAAACTGATGGACACAGCTAAAACTTTTACCTTAAAATTCTAAATATTTTTTACTTCTATCTTGTGTCTGGCTGACCAATGAACCATAACATAAATAAATGTACCTGACTATTGCAAGCTTAATTAGTTACTTAAGATAGCCCCAATTATTTAAAAATCAATGTAGACATTGAATTTAGTTTGGGTTTATGTGCTTTATTATATATGATCATATCATATTTATTCCAGCAAGGGATAGAGGACTTGCTGTTGAGAAATAAAATCACACAATATAACTTTAAAAACTTATTATAATAAAGTACAAAAATAGTTCACTTATTCACAAATAGCTGCTTACAATAACTAAATATAACAAATAAAAAACTGTTTGGCACTAAGTTGTTCAATAAATAATACTAATAATAATAGATAGGATTAAGTACAATCAATAAATCAGTCTATACATCAATTGAGAATATACACTTGCACTTAACAAATTGATTTCGTCCTCGCTCGTAACAGGTCGTAGGACAATGCTTTTCCCTTGATTTTCTTGACAGTGACTTGTATAAGGTATTCCTTGCCAGGACGAAGTTTTGATATTGTCTGTACTAAAACATTCCTGCAAACAGAGTTCCAAAGTAGTAAAACTTAGGTCTAGATGAGTTAAAGATATTTATAGCAAAACGTTTTAATAATTTCACAGATGTCATTGAGACATGGTAATTTTAAAACATGCTTATATTTTATATGCAATATTTCAACTCACAACATAAAAACATTGCACCTCAAATTGTAGGACAGTATCCATCTCCAATTACTTCAGACAAAAATAAATTCACTAATACATTTGTTAATGTTTTATTGCAAGCTGCAAACCTGTGATCGTTCGCTGAGAAGTCCTGACAATGTTTGACGGCAAAGTCAAGCTGTGTGCGGAGTCTGTAGTCGAGGTTGCATTGGTTGGGTCTTGGGTGGAAATGTGCCTCCGACTCTGCCACTGGAACTGGAGAAGCAGATACACAATACCTGCAAATCATTGGTTTTATTTAGAACGTTGTATAAAGCTAGAAGTATGAACATTTATGAGTTCATTCCTTTGTGAAGTGTTGTAAAATGTAAGAGTTTCTTAAGCCGCATGTCACGAGGCCAGTAGGCAGGTATGTTACCTAGCTGCCTCTAATGTATTTTTTCAATTACCTGAGCCAGGTAACCAACCATACTACTCACAGGTGAACCAACTCAGGTGATGCCAACAGGCTTTGTGTAAATGTGTCTTTAGAGTGGCTTGTTATAAACAAAACTCTTAAAATATTGATATAAAAAATTGATTATAATGTAAAGAATGTCTTAATGATTCACGAGGATGAAGTTGGACAAGTTGTTAAAGCACTGTTTTTCTATCTTGGAGACTGATGTGCTTCCAATCCTTATATATAATACGTGAAGGCGATTTCTACAAAACACTACTCCTCCGTTAATAATGAACGGAATTTTACAAACGACGTGTCAAAATAAAGTATTTTTTGTGTAGACGCCCCCTTTCACCAATTCCTGTAATAAAAGTCCTCGGGCTTTGCCCCACAGGCCATCAAAATCCCAATGTATTAAGAAGAAAAGATTTTGTTTACTTAAACAGACAAATAATTTGTTTTAATTACAGCTGTTCATAGTAAGCACATGATACACACAAGAGCGTTCGTTTTCAGAGTGAGTTCATTTCCAATTTCTATAACTGGAGTGGAGTGATTGATTACATTATCTTGGAGTTGACTCTTTTACATCGGAAATTATATGACTGTAGGGTTATTCGTTTTGAAATAACGCCTGTAATACTTTGCAATTGCTAGAATTCGAACAACAGGTGCACTAGTTACCAATGAATATGTGATAACTCTGTGACCCAATATTTCTGAACCCAACTGAAGGTCCATCTTTCTAGAAAAGATAGAATAGACCTTTGGGTTTGAAATCAGTCATTCAAACCAATTTCTGGCATATTCATTTGGTATTATGACGATAAGAATGATTAATTCCCATTTTCTTATTGACAACTTATATTGTATTTTCAAGGAGAATACCAGGCTAAATTATATTCTACCATAACAAGGGTTTGGAAAAGTTGTCGTGATTGTAATGGAACATATAAATACACCAAAGACAAATACATTTTGGGTTGAATTTGGCCAAGTAAAAATAATTCAAGTGTCATGAGCCAAAACCAAGATCGCCCAATAGTACTCCAGTGTTAGTTTTTTGTTTCGTTTTAGAGTGATTCAGGCAGCTGGTCCTAATCAACGTGTTGAACATTCGCCAATATAGAAGGTACATTTTTAAATCTTCAGACCACAAAAAACACTCTTAACTGCACTGCTACCAACCTGACTGACTGTGTGGTGACAGGCATCCAAGCAACAGTGATAGACTCGCAAGTTCTCATCTCGGAGTACTCGTGGACCATAGCTTCTGTTGGTAGCAGTGGCATCAGCGATGGCTTCGTAGTTGCTAGGACCTAACACAAATACAAGGCGTCATGACACAACCAGGATGTTAAGGTGTGTTATTCAAGTTATGAAATCTTAGATGAAGCTGCATTGGCAGCTAACTAGCAGTTTACTAGTTTTATGTTTCATGTATGGTAGTTTCCCTCACTGGACCCTGGAAAAATAAATTTAAACATACATTTTGTCCTTAAAAATTAACAGAAGTTGGCGCACATCAGGATTCTGGTTCTATTATGCACGTAATCTGTGTACACTTGGAAATAGGTTGGCAACACTTAAAGGTAATAATACTATAAGCAGCTGATTAATTGACTATTATAACTACAATTTAACCTGTAATTTTGTGTTTATAGTTTTGGTATTTCTGAAATTTCTGGACTTTTCTTTTAAACGTTTTTAAAACATTCCTACGATCTTAAATAAACAAGAAAATACCTTTAAAGCATTTTTTTAGGCTCAGAAACCACTTCAAATTACAAAAAAATACGGAACTATTTTCTCAAGTCGCGGAGCACATTGCTTGCCGAGGAAAAAATAGCGGAGTGATATGTACCGGGGACTACTTTCTCTAGGGCACCTTTTTTGTGTTGCCAGCTGAACCTAAAAACGTGTTGTATAGTGTTTGAAAGACAAATTATTTATATGCTTTATAGTGACTGTAGGAAAAATATAATGTGTAACACGAGTGCAAAAGGCCTTTGCTGCACTCGAGATCATTCCTCTCGTGTAAACATTGCTCTTGTGTGCAGCAAAGTGCCACTTTGCTCTCGTGTGCAGCAAAGTGCCACTTTGCTCTCGTGTGCAGCAAAGTGCCACTTTGCTCACTAGTTACACAAATAACTATTTCGTAACTGTAAAACTACACTATTCAAGTGAAACGGAAGGTGTTATCATATCGTGAATAAACACTGTCTCACCTCCACCCCGAGTATCTGTCGCATCTGACGAGCATCGGGCACGAAGACTATGAGAGTGTAGCGTTGTCCAGGCAACACGTTGGGGACCTGCAGTAGCTTGTATCCCTCCACCAGTAGCCTGGGCAGCACAGTCTGTCTGCGTAGTCTCACCTCCACCACCACAGAGCCTCCACACGGCATCACATGCCAGCGGAGTGTGGATACGGCACCTGCCTGACCGGCCCTCACCTGTACAAGTAAGTTTGGTAAGTTGGGGGTCGTTCGTGTTCTTAGATGGGGAACAGCAATGTCTTCAAAACATTGCTATTCAGGTCAAGCGACCCGCTACCCTTGCCACGTCACCTCTGACTGGAAACTGCCTGTGACTTTGAGCATTTAAAAAAATTTAATCAAGGTTTTTAACTTTTTTCATATGAATAAGTATCCTTTATTCATTTATTTACATAAATAAGGATTTTATTTGATTTAGAAAAAAATTAAAACTTTGAACTACCATAACTTTTGACAGGATTGATGTAGGGACCTCTATTTTGCACCATTCTTTTTTTATTATAACCTTTACAATTAGGTCTATATAGCTTGATAGGGGTTTAAATTTGAAAATTTCAAGTTACCCCCAAACTACCCCTTGGGGGAGGAGGGGGTGATAATTTACATACGGTACACTCTAAACTTTCTTTTTTGATCATATAAACTATCCCTGAATATTATAAATTTATCTCTATTAATAAAAAAATTAAAATGCGGGGATAGGACTTTTAGACACACAAAATAAAACATTTTAAATTTTTATTGATTTCTAAACGTGTTAACGTACCTTGTAACGAAACAATGCTCTTCCTCCCATTTTCCTGATATTAACAGTGACAGGTTTGTTATCCTTTAGCCCTGTTGGCCGTAGCTTCATCTCATACTTAAAGGCTGCGTTCGCATAAAGAAAGCTGAGTTGGGTATCTTTGTTCATCGCAAATATATTGAAGTAGTAATCCCTTCCCTTCTGTAGGCTGCTGATGGTGAAGCTGCGTTCGGCACTGACATTGGTAATCTGCAAAAGTATTACAATCTGAAGTTCATCACATAGAAAAAATAAAATATGATATCTAACACTTCTCGTCATAAATTACGTTGGGTCGCCGGAATTTTATCCCCCTGGAATTTTACCCCCTGACGTCACTATGACGTAGTAACCTGAGTGGCCAAAAGTTTGTTCGCGGCCGGAATTTTACCCCCGCGGATTTGGAAGTCTAATGAAAATAGCCAGAGCGTGATTAATTAGATTAGCGATGAAAACCGGAATTTTACCCCCTGTCCATATAACTAGCGTTTCGACAACTGAAGATGTACGGGCCGGATTTTTACCCCCTGGAATTTTACCCCCTAGACGATTTTAGAAATGGAATGATTGATTTTCTCATTTCTGTTTTTAATTAATTGTAAACATTTCATTATTTAGTAGCCTATCTTTATGTATTTATTTTGTAAAGAAATGTTCGAAACAATTATCATTCAGTTGATTGTTTATACGTCATATTAACCAATTGTTGGCTTCAAAGATCGAATCCTAATACTAAAATCTCAAAATTAAAATTAAAAACCTGATCGTTTCTAGTTAATGTTACAAAGAAATTAATTAAGGCTACTTAATAATAAAATGTTTACTATTAAATTAAAATAGAATGAAGATAATTAATCATTCTCACTAATTTATACATCTGGCCAGGGGGTAAAATTCCGGGGGTAAAATTCCGGGGGTAAAAATCCGGGCCGTACACTCTAGGTTTTTATAATTTGATGTGTTCTGATTAAATTCACAACCGTGAAAATATATGTTCAATTCCGCGTTTAATCCATCGAGCTGATGTCGCGAAACTCAAAAGTTCGCGGCCGGAATTTTACCCCCTGGTTTGTGACGTCACGTTTGCCCAGGGGGTAAAATTCCAGGGGGATAAAAATTTGCTACCCCATTACGTTTCATGGGTTTATATCATACAATACCATAGTAAAAATTCATAATCTTTTTTTATATTGTTTCTAAACTTAAAACACATAAATCTGGTTTGATCTTGAGTTTTTGACAACGGGCTACCTAAAAAAAGATTGGTTAAATAATAACAAGACAGGGTTTTGTCCGTGTCTTATAAAAAGTCTAAAAATGTCTATGGCATTGAAAACCACAAATTAACAAACACTAGCGAACCTGGCGCACGTAGTCGTGCGCAATCTAGACATAGGAGAAGAAGGATTTGTATTGATATTTTTTATTTGGCGTTTTCTGGTTTCTTGGTTTTGTTGTTAAAGGTGGAGATGGTAAATGCCTAATTACGTTCGCAGATTACATGCGTCATTGGAGTTTTTTTGTAAAAGTCAGTAAAAGATTATCTTTTGATTAAATCGATGATAACCTAAATGATAAACCAAACCCCCTCGTTCCCATCACCATCACCTCTGGCTTAAGTATGGGACTTATGTGCCAGGCTGCTTCCCCGTGAAAAATCTTCTTTCTTCTCAGGCTTCGACCACTTTCAATCCTCCTCCAGACACACTATGTGTCCAAAACCCTGACAGCATGGATCCCTTCCTTCCATCGCCCTGAGTGATAGGGATCATTGGGATTCGCTCTAACCTTTCCTCTCTCCTTCATGGGGAAATTTCATTCATTTTCTTTCTTTGTTTTTGTTTGGTTCTTTTTCCAATTTAAAAGCCTGTACGTATCCTTGTTTCTCCCTATTTCCCTAGCTACTTTCCTAAACATCTCAATTGTTTTCTTGTCTCTCATCAAGTTTTATTTTATTGTCCTAGACCTTTCCTATCTTCCTGACTTCTTCCTGTTCTCTTCTATTTGCCTTCTGAAGTGGACAATTCATCAATACGTGGCTCATAAGGCCTCTATTTTTTTTAGCAGCTGCATACTTCCACTTCCGCCAAGTTAAATCTCCACAAATCGCCTTGAAATTTTCCATGCCCCATCTCCCAATCTTGTTCCAGTCTTCTTCTGATGTTTGGAATATTTACGAACGTTTCCCTCTCTTTCTCATCTGCTCCCAGCGCATTTGCCACTCACACTCATCTAACTTCTCCCCTCTTCTGGCACTCTTGCTTTCTAACGTAAGCCTGCCCGCGACTTTTTTTTTCCAAAATCCTAATCCTTTCTTCAATGAGCAGGTTGAGTGGTATGGCTTCGGTCAAAACCCTAATAGTATCATGCGATACTGTGATGTATGACTTCCCTACTTTTAACAAAACTCTTCTTTGCATACTCAAAAGTTTTCTTTTCAATCTTATCTTCTTAGCATCCTCACCCCAGAACTCACATCCGTAGGCTACAGCATTGCTGGATTGCTGGCTCATCATCTATTGTACAGCGTCATATCAAATGCTTCCCAGTCATGCCTCTACTGGCTCTGGCCTGTCCTTCTAATTTTGCTAAGACTCCTTTAATTGTATTGCACATTTCCTCCAAATGATTTTCAAAGTCATTCCTTTACCTACAGTCAATCCTAATCATGCCTGACGACATATCAAGATTCCTGTTAACACAACAATGGGGTTTTCCAGAATTTTTAGGACCCGTCCATCCTACTTATTTACTTACCCACCTTCCGATATAATCAAATTCTTTTCCGAGATGCAAAACATGTTGGATACAAAATTATTGTTTCTTTGATATTGATCCAGCTGTTTCAAATATTAGTGTAAATTTCAAAGTATTCATCTGTTCAAATGTACACAAACATTTTCTCTCTCCCTTAGAACAACATGAGAACTTTGAAGGCCACTGGGGCAGAGCCCTGGTCGATTTTGAAACATGTTTTGCTTGATGGCAAATTTGCATGCCACGACCTATCCAATGACACCTTAAACATGGTCATCGGAAGCATGGCATCTTCAAAACAATTATCAAAAAATTCATGTTGGCCTATTAAATATATAGATAGATAGATTCATTTCACACTATTTATAGCTTTGTATTCGTTCACAGCTTGAATAATCTGTTACTGTTTATCCCAACCTCAAAGAATTAATCGAATTACATCATTCACCAATATTTAACATTTTAGGAAAACATGAAACACATCTCAGTCTTATAACTATTTTACATTTGTGGGGGGCAAACTGCTCTAAAGCCAATACACCTATTGATTATTATGTCGATTCAATTGATCTTTATTATCCACTTCCACTCTTCTCAATTAAAACCTCTGAAACTAAAGAACTCTTTATTATATGTCTGTTACACTCAAACTCTGGACTTGGACAATGTCTGAGATTTTACCCACATCGCGATATGGAAAGTTAAAATACCCACTCGCGGAGTGAGCGTTTCATTCAGACATTGGCCAAAGTGAATGCCCAGACCGCGTTGGGGGTAAACTGATTTACTCAAATGTCGAAGTCAAAATAAAATGTTCTTGACGAGTGCACAAAGGTAGGTCTAACTGCTCTCTATTTAGGTCTTCATTATGGATGTCCTGCGTGAACGAGAATTTGGCGTTATATTAGAAACTATAAATACCCACAACCCGACGTGAGCAATCACTTTTGCTCACATTACGTTTTGGGAGCTTTGGATTTGCTCGATCACTGAAGAAAATTTTGACTTTGGCATTTGAGTTAATCAGTTCACCCACAACGGCATCTAGACATTTCACTTTGATCGGCCAATGTTTGAATAAAATTCTCACTCCGAGACATGGGTATTTCACACTGTTAACATCTAGAAGTGGGTATAAAAGTTTCAGGCATTGTCCGAATTCAGAGTTTGAGTGTAACACACTAACAGAATAACTAAATACAAATCATCGTTAAACTCACCATTTCATCTTACATGATGAATCTTGTACCGTACTCAGTAACAATGAGAATTACTCCAGGTTCCTGCAAGATAAAACACGCTAAGCTCAATGTTACACATGGATGCAGCAAACTCAATATGATTTTGTACAAGTTTTTATTTAATTACTTAAATAGTACTCTATTTTATACTAACAATATGTCTGGTTTGATTCTGACACTTTAATAACTTGTAATCTGTGTAAAAATGCTAAGCGAATTGAATAAATTAATTTTAAAAATCCGCAGTTTCTTCTATTGTATGTTTTCCAAAATAAATTAAGCAATCAGCGATTAATGAAAATCAAATTTGTTTATTATATGCACTCAAAGTAAATCGTTTTATTATTTAAATAAATGAAACTGTTAATGATCTTTATGATTAAAATTAATTAGAAATGACGACTAATACTTTGGATTGTAATACATGATAAATACTTTTTAAATAAATAAAATAAGTAATTTCTCCAAGCAATGGGAACCTGACTGTTCAAGATTACAAACCATCGTAAATAACATTTGTTAAAATCATAGTTTCATCACTGCTCCATGATAACATCTTAAGCCAGCAAGTTTCATCTTGAGGAACTTTAATTGAATAAATTACTTACAGTTCAAAAGCAATACTTTTTATTGAGCTGAAAATCTGCAAGGAGAAATTACTTCTAGTCCCCTGCAACATGTTTTTATTTTAACTAATCCTAATTATTATAAATTTCAATTACGGGCTACGGCATCGCTTCAACTCATTCCCTTACTTAATAAATTCCCTTACTTGTTATTGATGTTTAAATTTGCTAATAGCTGTCTTTTTATGGTTGTATCCACTATGTACTAAAGATGATCCATTTTTTATTTTTTATTGGAAGCTAAAACTGTAAAATAGTTGGGTAGCTGAGTAATTAGTGCTCGCCTAGGAATCGAAAAGTCACTGGCTCGATCCTGAGAAAAAATTTAGCTTTCCGATATGGTTCAAAACCGGGCACAGCTGACCTTGATTAATTGGTTATAAATAATGTTCCTGGATAATTAAACAGCTGGTCTTAGCCAGTAACATCTCAATGCTTCTCACTCCAATGTTACACTAATCCTTCACTCATTTTTGGGTAAAAAAATGCACCAGGTGGTGTCCCCATCTCAATTGATAATGAATGATAAAGATAAACAGACAATACAATAAGTTTTGTTGTAGGTTATTGACAATATTGGAATTGTAGTGTTGATTTATAGGATTGTTAATGGAATTTAGTGTAAAAAACCTGATTATACTGTATAGTTTAATAACCATGCCTGAAATATTTAGAAAGGCTTTTTTTTTAGTTTCACAGAGTTTAAATAAGAAACTTACGAGTTCAGTGTACTAACCCTTTTCTACGGAGGTTTTACAGCCTATGTTAGAGTTTATAGAATTGTTCTGTATCAACAACTGTGTTATTGTGTTAACAGATAAGGTTCATTGCCACTCAGTTTAATTCAATTTTGAACATTTTTTTATGCCAATGGAATTGATAAAAATCTTTTATGCGACCTGATTATTTAAATTCTCTTAGGTTTTTCATTCACCTATTATGAGTTGTTTATGGTTACATTAGAAAATGTCTTTTTCTGGCTCATAAAAACCCTTAATGTTTTACTCAGTACTCTTTCAGCATTATCTTAATATAGAATAAATTATTTACAAACTGCTTTACAGCTCAGGTTGGAAAAGTTGCCGCAAATTAACCATAACAACTTTGTTTCAAATGTGCATGACAACTTTTGCTCCTATGAAATATCGTTAGACCGATGTTTCTAGGTGTCGAGATTGCTTCGGCAAAAAACTCAAACAAACAAACAAACAAACTAGGAACGTTGCCGCAAAGTTGACACAACGTTTCATGTTTCAACAATTTCAACAATTTTGTTGCAAACATTATAATCTATCATTGCAACTTTTCATAAAGTTGCTGCAAGTTTTTTTTTCTATCTGAGACATTTCTTAGCAGATTCAAACATGATTTATAATAATAACGTTCCAATCCAAATCACAACTCACCAAAACATCATCCTTATCCAGTACTGTGCCAATGGCCCTGAAGTGGTTACTGACTCCGATATCCTTCTTGTGTACCTTATTTTCCTGACTGGAAGGTTTCTCGCTGAGATACAGAATGTTCACTCCTTCCACAGGCTGTTTAGCCTCACACAGACTAGAGAAGTTTTGTCTGGAGTTGACCACGACAAAGTAGTGCATCATTTGAGGATCCACCACACTGCAACGGTCAGTTGTAAAAATAAAAATTAACGTATATGATTGAGTGTATATCTTCTAAAATTATTTCTCAATCATAAAGTGATTTTCTAAGCAAGTAATTAACAAATGAAAACTGATGAGGGATTATGTTAAGTGGGGATGAATGATAAGTGAGTTAACTAAGTAAATGGTTACTAGATATAAGAAGCCCAAATTGGTAGACTCATCCTGAAGAAAGCTATACAGTTGTATTGATTTATTGATACTAGTATTTTGTTGATTAGACTAATTATGATACACACAGTTTACCAAACGGTCCCAATAAGATCAAATATACAGTTTAAAAACTGATAACAAACGAAGAAATGGTCAAATCTACAGTATACAAACTTCTACTACGTCTCAAACCCAAAAATTAGTAGACAAGTTTATCTATTTATATTATAAATTATATTTATTTATATTCATTTATATTTTTTTATATTTATTTATTTATTTCATATATTCATTTTCTTATATGACATTATATAAGCTTATCCCACAAGATTAAACCCATGGAATTATACATACTCATTCACGTAATAAAATCCACAAGAGTCTACAAAATCAATCATGTGATGGAATGATTCCCATACACAGGCTAAATCCACATGATAAAACCCACAATACATCAAGTCTTCCCAGTTTGTCAAATAAAATTTATTTAAATAGGTATCTATTTTTTATATATTTATACAATTTTAGTTTGTACAATAACATTTTTTCTGAAATGGGGCCCATTAGTGTTAAACCCAAATAACATGCATTTGAAATAGGAAAATTAGGTTTTTTGTCATTTACACAAAAACTAAAAGAGATAAAAAGTGGGTGTAAAAATTACAAAGTTGCTAAGAATTAAAAAACCTATAAAATGATGTGGACATATGTTTCTATTTGAAAATTTTAAACAATTTGGGCATTTGCAAATTTTTAAAAATATTTTTTTTTTATAGTAAAAACGTTCGGTTTAGACACACAGTATGCTCAGCGTGATCAAACTCATAGTAAACGCAATGGTCCAGACTCATAGTAGACTAGACGTGATGAAACGCATAGTAAACACAATGGTCCAGACGCACAGAAGGCTCGGCGTGATCAAACGTTCGAAAACAAGAGGTTTTGTAATTTCCTGTTCTCACTCGTCTTGTAATGACTTCGGGTTTAAAGGACCATAAAAATCGTATTACCATAAAAATGTGTAAGCCCATAAATGTTTGGGTGATGGGGTGTGTGGCTAGAGGCAGGCCGACGCTTTGTATAAGCTATAAAGTGGATGAGTTACGTAGGTCCTTCGCACGCCCGCGGCTGCTGCCCTGCTTCTGAACTGACGCCGAAGTTGTTGGATTAATACATTTAACGTACTGAATGTGGCGTCGGAATATCTTCATGTTAAATTTCCAGAAGGTTCCAAGATTCCTGTACAAAATGCGTTATTTTTAAGACCATTCCTGTACGAAGAACTTGAAGAATCGAGCCAAAAGAGCGAATATAAAAGTATTCACGTTTTTGAACGATTTTTACGAATTGATCAATTAAGATGCCACCTCGAAGGTTAAATGACTGCAGTGAAGGTATATGTTCATATTAAATAAGCAGATGATTCCTGCTGATTTATTTGTGCATAAAGACGTTTTTGCAAGATTCTGTACACAGAACATAGTATAGAAACTGAACGTGAACGTAGGGAAATGTGCAGAAAAGCGTGGAGAGAAAATCGTGTTAATGTTTTCAGAAGATTTTTATTAATTGATAAACTATGACGCCAACACTGCAAGGTGCTACAACCAAAGCCAAATCAAAAAATTTAGTTGAAGTTCTTCAACACTTTAACTCCTAACTAACTAAAATCTAAAATGTTCATATAATAACAAAAAAAAAAAAAAAATATATATATATACAACTAACTGTCGGTAAATACAAAGTGATAAAAATAAAATATTGTGTCTAAGACGCGCACAATGTTCCCAAGTGTCAAAGCTACTTCTGTTTACCCACTAACGCAGGTCCCGTAACAACTAACGTTTCCCGGTAGCAGCAACCCTGCGCAGCCCATTCTCAGCTGGCTTTTTGCCCGCTCGCATCAGCAATGCCAGTACCGACCTACCTTAACGTTTGACGTGTTTTTTCCTCGAGAATGTTTTAAATCCGATTTAATTGAATTGCTAGTTTGTACACAGTTTCATCATTGCTTGTTTAATAGATAAGTCACTAGTGGAATGCTGATCGAGTTTTTAACACCAGTACAAACCTCCGAGGCTTGTCCGCGGATGAACGATTGCCGGCGAAAAAAGGCCAAACAAGCTCCTCGTCTATGAAAAACACGATTATTTTTTATTCGAGCTGCAAAACTACACTTTGCTCACTGGATTGCAAAATGTCATAAGCCTCCATCAATCAAAAGAGAGGGTTTGGTAAAAAATGCGAATAATGGATACATCAAACGTAAAGGATGGACTGAAACGTGATATTTGTTATCATACGAATGTGGACCACGAAAATCTTCAACATTTAATATGGACTATTGTCTCATTTAAAAAAAAAATGTATCCAATATTGAAAGTATTCAGGTAACGTACAGGTGTTTTTTTAGTTACTTAGTTACCTAGGGAGCAAGCTGGTCTAGTGGTAGGTCTCGGGGATTCAGAGCCAACGGCCCTGGGTTCAAATCCCGCCAATCACCAATTGGTTTATCATGTGATAATGCCGCAACCCTCTAGGACTAACCTCTAGTATTGCGTTAAACAGTTCCGGGCTAGATCCTAGCGTCCTAGGATGTGAAGGTGGGACATTTTAGTTCCAACAGCTGTTATTTAGTCACGTAGTTTATACAGCTGTTATTTTGCCATTTAGTTTACACAGTAGTTATTTGGCCACGCAGTTCATACTGTGAATGGATACTATCTCCTTAAAGAAAAATACTAAAATTTAATATTTTGTATTTAAGTAATTTAGTCATGAAGTTATACACAGAGGTTTAAAGCAATTTTTACCGTAAGTATATATGTTAATAGGAGGTTCGTCTCGTAGTATGCCGCAACACTTTTCGTTGATACCGTAGGTAATAAGTCACGTAGTTTCATACCTAATTAGTCAGTTGCCCAGGTAGTTAGTCACGTAATTAAACACGGTTGTAGATTGTCCACTAGTGGGGTCTAGTGGGTACGCGGAGGTATCGGTAATTGATCTGGTTGTGTGGTGTGTGTCTGCCGCGCATGATAATGTCTGTTTAACGTGTCAATCACTCCGTCATCAGGAATGCAGCTGTGCTTCCTAGTGCCGCCGACCACGGGTTGTGCGCTGCTCGAAATCGAGCTATAATCGCAGTCAATACCACGTCAGTGTTTATTAAGATTTTGCTTGGTGAAGAATTCTACACCAATGTAATACGGTAAAGTCCGTTAGCTTTACGGTGGTTTGAGACTGGACCCAGCTGTCACTGATCACTGGGTTTAAAAAATGTGCATGGCTAAATAAACAGCTGATCTTGAACAGTAACAAATCTACACAGATCATCTCACTCTATTCTACACTTTCTTTGAATTAGTATTCCGATTTAAATCCGCACCTTGGTATGCGTTTATCCACATATAGGCTAAACCCAAAGTCCCCATGAACTTTTGAGAAAACTACAAGTCACACTCCCATAAACCATATACTTAAATGTTCGTCATGACGAGAAACCTTGCGGCAAAAAGATCCATTATTTCATAAATTGCCCTTTAAGGTCGTAATTCCTTTCTAAAGGGAACTTTCCATATACCTAATGTTAAAAATACCTCAGCTGTACTTACTTATTTGTTATTCTTTCAATTTATTACCTTATTAAAATCAGGTGTGATTAAATGTTTGCATTACTGTATTCTGTTTTGTTAATTTCAGCTTAACTTTACCAATCAATAGTTTTATTAATACTTATGAAGAAGTCAAACGGGGTGAAGCCCGTGGTTAACAGCTGGCCAGTAATAATAGCTAATTTGAAATTAGGTAAACACCTTGACCATTGTTGAAGAACAGCTGAGTTTGACATTTGAGAAAAACTGGAACATTTTGACCACGAGTTTGATTGTCGAGTTTGAAATACATATGCAATAATTGATGTTGACTAGCTAAATTTGAAAGTTAATTGACCAAGACTGCTGCTGTAGAACATCTGAGTTTGACCGAAGAGAAAACTTATATCATGGTCGAAAACAGCTGAATTTGACATTTTATTAAACCTAGTTCATTTTTGGGAACAGCTTAGTCCAACAGTTGGCAAAACCTAGACCATTGTTGCAGCACAGCTGAGTTTCTCATTTCTTAAAGCCTAGACCATTATTGGCGGGAAGTGTGGCTAGAAGCGGACGTCTATGGTCATAACTCAAAAGCACGCGCGTGCCTATCGCGCACCAAAACCCGCGTCCGCCTGATGAAACTGTGACAAGAGTACAAACAACCAGTTACTGCATCACGGCTTTAATTGCCCACGACGTATAGAATGAGGTTGTTCAATGAGTCATTTTGGAAACCGTTTTTTGCATTGCTATGTTGTGTTTTTTGCAGAAAAAGTGAAGTTTGGTTTTTTACTTATTCTTAAGTTTTTGAGGATAACTAATTTATTTATGTCAGACCCCAAATTAACGGGTTCAAATCTTACAATTACAACTTGAAGGCAGAAGGCATTAACATAATGTTTACCCTGTTTATAGCCAAGCTTAAAATAACATAATGTAATTGGATTAAGGTTATACAGTATTTATCTATTTGCTCTTTCAATTATTGAAATCCATAAGTTCAGCTTAGGGCTGTATTCGAGTTTATGGATTTTTGTTTCGACTTGGTGAAAATGGCTAAGAACAACGATGTCCAAGGATACAGTTGCATTCGGCCAACGTTTTAAATAAAATTGACTATGGATGTCTTCTGTTGTTGACCATTCCTCGACGCCTGGTTTGAATGGTCTCCAATATCCACGGATCATAGGTCTATAAGTGTACAACGAAATGAGCAACTTCCCTATACGTATACAATCCAGAATTCGCGGATGGCGAAATTCTAGCTTGAATTTAAAAATAAGTCCTCTATTCTTCGATTAAATCAGTAGCCTCTTTTTACGAGTTAATGTAATGTTGAGTTAATGTACAAAATCATAAAGCCATCATCGTCTGACGATCTAACACGATTCAAAAGACCAGACCTTGTTAACGAATTAAATACGTAAAACAAAGCACAATAAGTTAAGTAGTTTAGTTATAACATTTTTTAATGAAATATAGATCTGATTTTGAAAACTATTTACGGATTCAAACTGCTTATAACAGATTTGTTAAGGAACTATAGTTTAAAAAAATGTTCTTGACACAATAAGCAATGTGCTCAAAAACGTAATACATTGTATTGTGCAATAAAGAAACACGTTGCTGCAGTGATTGGATGTTATATAGTTTAAAAGAGCAGTGCTTCACCAATGCTTTATTTAAGATGCAAAATGTCTCTCAAAGAGTAGGAAAAATGTAAAAGGTTACCTAGTGCTCGTATTGTTTGGAGGTTCTGCCCATCTGCATACTATTTTATACTGTATTTATGAGTTTCATGATCTATATTATTTGTATAGTTTACATTGGTTTTGGTGGCTTTATCTGTAAATACTTTTGCAGAGGCCTTAAAGTTATAAATAGGGCAAAATCTGACTCTTAGAAAAATTCAACCATTCAAAATTGTTAGAGCTTTCCATTGTGGGAGGTGCTGAATATAAACAGTTTTCATAATCTGAAACCCTTAACACGTTTTTAAGATAGTTGACTCCTCATTTCCGAACTTCATGGCTATGCCTATTTGTTGGGAATTTGCAATAGTATTCTTGGAATTGAACTAGGGTTATAAGGAAAGAAAGATTAGCATACTATTCACTAGACAAGTCGGCTATATCATGATTTTAATTTATTTCTTGGGGAAAATGTGTTACCTCTGATCCCAGCGGAGAGTCACTTTGTTCCGATGAAGACGAGGTTGTAGCCTCAACCTGGGAGTCTGGCGGATCCTCAACACAGCGGGCACTCCGGGTAGTTTGGTGGCATAGAGGGTGACCTGGGTGTCTCGTCCCTCGGCCACCAGGTCCAGAAGGTAGAGACCCGCTGGGGCGGAGGCCCAAGAGTAGACGTGCTGGGACCTCCCCCGAGACATGGCCAGAGATGACTCCGATCTGCCTCCTATATAGTCCTTTACTGTAACAAACACGTGGTCACTCAGGATGTATCTTGAATGTGATGGTCCTCGGCCACCAGGTCCAGAAGGTGAGTGACCCGTTGGGGTGGAGGCCCAAGAGTAGACGTACTGGGACCCCCGAGACACGGCCAGAGATGACTCCGATCTGCCTCCTATATAGTCCTTTACTGTAACAAACACGTGGTCACTCAGGATGTATCTTGAATGTGATGGTCCTCGGCCACCAGGTCCAGAAGGTGAGTGACCCGTTGGGGTGGAGGCCCAAGAGTAGACGTACTGGGACCCCCGAGACACGGCCAGAGATGACTCAGATCTGCCACATATGTAGTCTTTTGTAAACACTGATAGTATGTTGATCCAGGATGCAATTTGGATGTGATAGTCCTCAGCCACGGAAAAAGGAGTGAGGGTACAAAGATTGTTATCGGGAGGGACCAGAAAATGGATAGAATTCATCAGGAGGCCTTAGGTCCTGCGATGGAGTTCAAGCTTAGAGAGGTAGTAGATGATTAATGAGTTTAGTACTCTGGGACTTAAAAAGTTGAAATTTTTGACACTGCTGACATGAATGAAACTGGTCCCTTGCCATAGTTTTCAAGAAGTGAACTAGAAGATGTGTAAGATGAATATACCCGCAAGTTATGAGCCAACCTCCCCATTTGAATAGGCTGGATTAGTTTAGGTTTTTAGGCGCCTACTTAATATCTCGTCTCTTTATCTCTATCTCTCTGCCTACCCGGTTACTTCAACCCATGCATATCACAACGACGATACGCTTATACATACGACCTAAAATCTGAATGGAAAGGGTCCAAACAACTACCCTCAACCGACATTACCTGACATACTTCACTACACTTGCGATAATGTTACTGAGATGTTAGCAGCAGATATGCTATATTCACCATTGAGGAAATCCAGCAGACTCCATTATCCTTAAATACGTTAAAATCCCATAGTTAGCGCTGTTGAGATGAAGTAATTTCCTGCAGTTGAGTCCCCGACCGCAAAAACTAGATCACGACTAACTTACCACAGTCGTGATTCACATTTATGTTTTTCTAATCACAGAGTGACGCACAAAACGCAATAATTTACCAAGCGGTTATAACGAAGTTTAAGCGCCGCAAACCGCTTGACATGAAGAGATGAGGCTTGGTTGCATGCGCAGGCAGGCCAGGGCCTACTAGCTTGGTCCGTTATGGGAAATAAAACAAGCTTTCAGCTTGTAACGGGTCGACACACAGATACTTTAGTACCATTCAAACCTTCCTGTCCATCTTATGAAAAATAAACCCCGCAATAATTATTGTTTGTTGAAAATGTTACAAGAATTTGTTGGATTTTTGTGTGCAGCAAATTGAAGCCTAAATATTTATTTTTATAGACATATTGGGTATCAATTTAAAGCTCATTTCCTCTAGATGTGCCTTTTGCGGGTTTGGATGATATCCCGTGAAAGCCCTTCGTCCTGTAGGCTTTTGCAATTTCATAGTGCTGAATTCGGTTGTCAATCATCTTAACCTTTTCAAGTTTACATTTGCTTACATCAAAACAGATGGCCATGATACAATTTTGTTTACATCCTTACGAAAATGGGGTTGCCTGTAGTTGGTGATGTTTCAGAGTGAATTCAAGTAAAATGTTGTAATGTTAGTTATGTAAAATGTAAAGAAGATTACGTTGGACTTTGTGTTTTCATAGTATGTTTCGTTAGTATTTGTAATGTTTCTAAGATGCCTCGAAGAGATCGCACACGCAATGAAAATAATAGGGTTCGCAATGCAAATAATAGGGATATGATGAGACAAGATCGTTTACATCGTTATCAACTATATATCAAATATATCACGAATTTTGAAGCCAAAAGGTGACGCAGGTTGCTTAACATGTACTTAACATGATTTCCCTTCCACCGTGATCAATAACATTATCATTATGAGATGGGGACGCCACCTAGGTGCGTATTTTAACCCAAATATGAGTGGAGGATCGGCGGAGCATTGTTACTGACTAAGATCAGCTGTTTTAATCAGTCATGATCATTTATTTAAAGCCGAAAACGATCAGGAACAGCTGTGTCAAGTTTCGAACCATTGAATTGTAGCTACCCCGATGGAGAATCGTTGCAAAGCATCCGCAACTACGGTCTTGTATCTATAGTTTGGTCAACTAACCATGGTGGTTGGGGATAAGGCATAACTGTAGCCAATTAATAAGGTTTGTGTTCATTGGCATCAGGTAGGTCTCATCCCTTACAGCCTTCGTTATTTATACAAACTATATCTTTACCAATGTAATAAAACTTTCATCCATCGCAAAACAAGATTGGAAAATGTACTTCCGTGGAAACCTTTCATCAGGATTTGTAGATTGGCTGTCAAGAATTAGAGTGAGGCTATTGATACTATAGGTATAGATATAGATAGATATAGGTATAGACTGGGACGGGTGGCGTCGTCCTGTAATCCAGCTACTAGGAGGTCACGGATTGTGAATATTTATAGGTATGCACTGTGGATGGGATACTCCCTGGTGTGGATTAACGTCCGCACTAGTGAGTATTACGAGTACTATCCTTATAATTAGACCAATTCGTATATACCAAGGAAAAAATGTGGTTCGGATTCCACTATAAACTGTAGGTCCCTTAGTTGCCATTAGCTGTTTGGGCTATTAATTAACAGCTTTGTCTAAGGAATGTCGGCCTTAGTCACTAACAAGACTACAAGATCGCGCCACTCATCCTACACACATCTCCATTCATACTTGGCTTAAAATACCTACATTGTATGGTCGCCATTTCATAAGAAAGTATTAAAGTATATATTTTCTTATGTATCCATCTTAGTAATCATTATGTATTCTGAAGTATGCGTAATGCACTTTCGTCGTACAGCAATAGTTCTAATGAATAATTTATTACTGTTTCTTTAGTTTTTACACTTTTTAAAACAATCTAAATCCGAAATAATCCTTAAAGCAACTGTAACCTACAAACAAATACCTCGTCAGCATTTGCGTGCAGAGAGTAACTTGTTTCGATTGGATGTCATTTCAAAACACCGCATTACATAAAATCCGCTCGACTAGCTCCGTTGATGATTTATAAACGCAACGCATACGCTCAACAATACCTACGACATAAAGATGGATATTTCTGATTTAATATGGCGTTTGTGATTGGCATTGCGCCGAAACATTAAAATGTTCCCGGCTTGGGATTCGTAATGGGAATGGGATTGCTGACGAGGTGTGTATGAGTCAATTTTGGTAGCTAATCCAGTCTCGTAGATATTACAATTGACTCTAATTACAATCTGAAAATTTCTCATCTGACACTTTGGCCAAAGTTTTTAAACAGCCGAGTCTGTACCTGCAATAATTGAGAGATTACTGTATAACGAAAAGAAGCAATCTTTCGTCACATAAAGCAAAATCAAGCAGCAGCTTGATAATTAATCAATCGTTGATATGGGGACGTATTTTAACCCAAATATGAGTGAAGGATGAGTGTAGAATGATGACCTGTGTAGCTTTGTTACTGACTAAGATCAGCGGTTTCATTAGCCAGGGTCATTTATTTAAAGCCCAATGATCAGGAACAGCTGGGCCCAGTTTCGAACCATCAAAAAGCTACTGATGGACTTTAAGCTACACCGTAGTAAACACTACTTCTAGATACCTTGGGCGACATCATTTTTCATTTTGTTTACCTTTCCTCATATTACCAACGAAATAACTTAACGAAGCAGGTCAATAGGGTCAAGCGTATACTGAATAACCTTTCTGCTCGTTTGAAGACACTTCAGTGCATAACTAAGAGTTAGGTTAGATTAGATTAGGTTAGTTAGGTTATGAGACCAGCCAAACCTCGGTTGTTTGCCCGAGTTTTTAACAATTCTAAAAGGGAGTTCTGACCCTTCTTTAATACTTGGAATGTTGTCCAATTCTAGTCCAGCTTTATAACTTGTATAGCAGTGTATACTTACAGAAGCCTGAAGTGTTTGACTGGGGTATGTGGTAGACGGTGGAGTTGACAATTCCACTGCACGGTCTGATGATGAGAGTGAGAGGACCATTGGCGTGATGGAGGTGGAGATATCTGTAAACATAGGACAGATTTTACAAAATTTTAGTATATTTATACGAATAAACAATTAGTTAATCACGATATTCAAAGAAATACTTCAAATACAGGTTGGAAATAAATGGTAAGTATACACCATTAATTGACTACACAAATTGACAAACACCAAAGAACTTCATAGAAATGATTACAGATTTAAAGTACTAACTATTTGAGAAAACTCGTCTATCGCCCAGGACTCAGGCCAAAAAAGTAACTTTGTTCCTACACTAATTACAATGCAGAACTGCTTTGAATCTTTAAACAGTTCATCAGAACTTCTCTATGTAGCCTAATGCAAATTGGTCCAAGTTTCCAAGAGCTGATCGGAGAGTTGTTATTTATATATTCCAGTGTTCCTGCTTCCTGGAAGTAGTTGAGATGTCCTGCAACGATATCAACGAATACGAACAGAGATTAGGCGAGTCCTGAAGCCATGAATATGAAGTGATATGAACGTGGAAGTGTATAAAAATGTAACGAAATATACGACAAACTATGGCCTATATGGTCGAATTATCCTGTGGTATGCAATATTTTAAAGTAAACATGAACAATTACCTAGTTTACTAGTGCAATACAGATGCAACTTTAAACAAATTTTTAAACCCTTTAAAAAACCCTTAAAAACCCTTTAAGCACGTTTTTCTAATTTAAGTTTCTAATTCTTTCTTAATTGTTTTCGCGTTAGTTGAGAGAGGAGGCATGGAAGTTATCAGCACGGTAAAATTTTTTACCTTATGCAATAATTCATAAAACTGTAAAATGTTAAATAGATATTTTCAAAAACAAATCGAAAAAAGTATATAGTTTACAAGACACTTTTTTCTTATATCCAATATTTTTTGAGCTATTAGCAATATGAGCCATTCAACAATAATTTTAAGTATTACCTTATAACGTTTGACTAAGTATTTTATGTGGTTTTAGCGGATTTACCATACAGGGAACAAGTTATGACCGTATGTCTCATAGTAAGATCTAGATTTGAAACCGATTTACTTTTCGTTTTGATGGCCCAAACACCTGCCGTTTAAGAACACAACAAAACAATTATTGATTTACAAAGCGTTGTTGTAGGCCTACGCTTAATGGTCACGGAGAAAATAACTGCCAATTTAAAATCCCTGTGTTATTCTTATGGAGAATCAATTAACTGTCCCAGTTTACTTATTTATGGATGTACTTTGATCAAATTCCGCAAATTTGTTTATTATATACAAAGCTATTAAGATTTTAATACTGTAAGGAACACACACCCTGTATCAGCAAACCTAACTCGATAATTTTGAAGATAACAAATACTTTCTCTGTATACTATGGTATAGCCCCGGATAAAGTAAAAATGAAAATTATATTCAGATTTAGATTCATTATGTTTGTGAAATCTAATTCAAATTTTTATTTGCTAATTTGTAAAACAGTGTAATGTAGGTTTTGATTTGTTTGTGAGACAATTTCATTTAGGTTAGAATTTGGTAATTTGTAAAACTGCATAGTAAAGGTTAAGCTGAAAATACATACAATTGCCCATTATTTGTGCTTTATAGCAAATTTAGGAAAACAATATAATGTATAACACGAGCGCAAACTCTCCTGCGGCTCGCGCGTAAACATTTCTCTCAATTGCAGCAAAGAGCCACTTTGCGCACTAGTTAAACAAAACTATTTAAGTTAATCTTTCGGCTTCTAATTTTATGGTTAGTTCTAATTTCACGAATTACATTAAATTTACTACATTAGCCTTCTTTCACACAAAAAAAAGGTGTGAAAGAAGCCTTATACAACAACTGCACTGAAAGATGAATATGTTAAGTCACTTACGTGGAGTTGCTGCTGGAAGGTATGAGAACTGAAACCTCCAGATCCTCCGGTAGTACGCTGGTCGTGGAGAAGATAAAGTTCTTGGTCAACTTGGGGAAGGGTCCTGGGAAAGGGTTGCTGGGGAAGGAAGAAGCTTGGAGGGTGAGGACTGACTGGAGGTTGATCAAGGAGCACCAGAACAGAGCTTCGGCCACAGTCCGCATCCTGGAATATCATCTGGTGTTAGATGGTCACGAAATTGGGAATAGTAATAAAACATGCACAGAGAAATCGATGTTTTAATGCTCCTAAGTAGACTTGTAGCTGGGTAGACGAGTAAGGTTAGAGTGTTCACATGTTCAAAATGTTCAGAATTGCCAGTTCGATCCTGAGAAAAGTAAAGCCTTTAGATAGTTCTGGTGAAAACTATATAGAAACTGGACCAAATTGTCCTTGATCGTTGGGATTTTATAAATGGTTTTTAGTGGAGAAACAGCTGATCTTAATCCCTAACAAAACTACCAAATGCATATAACTGCACTCTGCACTCATATGTTAAAATACTTACAATTGTTTTTTCCTACAGTCACCCGACAAAGTTGGCTTCCTTGTACTGTTTATAGTACAGAAAGCTGGTAATTGCTGCATATTTATACTTTTCCGTACGGTTTATACTTTGCCGTACGGTTTATACTTTGCCGCACATCATGATTCCAACGAAACAACACAAAACAGCGTGGTTCTATTATGAACGTAATCCGTGTACGCTTGGAAATAGGTTGGCAACACTTAAAGATAATTATACTATGAGCAGCTGATTGACTATTATAACTACGATTTAACCTGTCATTTCGTTTTTATAGTTTAGGTATTTCTGAACATTCTGGACTTTTCATTTAAACGTTTTTAAAACATTCCTACGATCTTAATAAACAAGAAAATACCTTTAAATCATTTTTTTCAGGCGCGGAAACCAGTTCAAATTACAAAAACATACGGAACTATATTCTCAAAACGCGGAGCACATTTCTTGCCGAGGAAAAATAGCGGAGTGATACAGACCGCGGGTACTACTTTCTCTAGGGCACCTATTTGTGTTGCCAGCTGAACCTAAAAACGTGTTTTATAGTGTTTGAAAGACTAATTATTTATATGCTTTATAGTGACTGTAGGAAAAATATAATGTGTAACACGAGTGAAAAAGGCCTTTGCTGCACTCGAGATCATTCCGCACTCGCCTGCGGCTCGTGCGTAAACATTGCTCTCGTGTGCAGCAAAGTGCCACTTTCACCACTAGTTACACAAATAACTATTATTTCTCAGTGTAACAGTAAAAAGGTTTATTTTAAAGTCTAAAGTTCTAATGTATGTTAAATAGGCATTGGTTTTCATTGAGGAAAATTAAATAAATAATGTTTACAATATTAAGGATTCAAAATAAAAACACCTAGTAAGGAACACTTAAATATATCTGAACCTTCTGTGTACATGGAGTAGTTAACGGACAATATAACATAAACTATATAGAACGGTTTTTAATTCAATGTGGGCACTTCAATCTTCATCAGAACCAAGAATAGAGGATTATCAATTATCAATTATTTAAGATGGGGGCGCCACTATGTGCGTATTTTAACCCAAATATGAGTGAAGGATGAGTGTAGGCTGAGTGGCGGATATAAAATATGACTGCATAGGTAAAACCTATTGGTGATAAGCGGGACTTTACATCCGCGTCCCCTGCTAAGTATAAGCAAACTGTATTTGATAAAAAAATCAACACGATACTGCAGGTTAAACTTATGAATTTAAAAATTCAATGTGTTTAGTTGTGCTATTCTACCTTTGGCAACTCTACATTCACTCCCGATCGAAAGCAACACATCTGACAATCATGAATCTCACATCGACCAATTCTCTAAACTGTTTTGTCAGTGATACATCTCAAAGGTCGCCGCTGACAGCTCTCAGATGTCTAACAAAGGAGAATCAAGTACCCTTTAGACTATTGATGGGTCTGGTAGCTCCAAAACTCGAATTCGATTTGCATCGATAAACCAGTTTGCTCGAAGTGGGTCAGTATATAGCTGTTGACGTTATGTGTTAGTTCTCTTCGGTATCGTTAAGCTAATTTTGTTTTCGGTTGTTTGTTTTGTACGTGTAAAGTGATGTTTGTCTTTAGTTGATGTGATTATGACAATAGTTCGGTGTATGGGTTAAAAGGACCCTCTTTATCTAAACTTGTATTAAATGTGGTGTTATTTGAAAGCAAAAGTTTTGATATGAAAAAATATTCTTTGAAAAATTGAACATTTTTGAAACGGTTGAAACAGCGTATTAGGGAACTACTAGACATAAAAAATTCAATAAAGCTGGAAAGCTTAATACAACTAAGTACGACTCACTTGCAAATTACAAAAAGTAGTTAATTGGTATTGAAAAAAACTAAATATTGTAGATCATAAGAAAACTTTTTTTCTACAAGTTAATCAACAAAATAATAGAGTAGGTGGCCTGATAGCAGATAGGACGAAACTTGATTTTGTTAAAGAGCACACTGGTTATTCCATAAATAAACAGCCAAATCCGGGAATTGGTTTTCTGAGTCATAGAGAACATCAAGAACATTTTTTTCCAAAAACGCTTCTTTAACCAAATAGCCCCCATTCATTATGTATTTTTACATATCAATTTGATCTTTGAATCTTCCAAACCGATCTTAATGAAATTTGGTATGTTTTTTTTAAGGAAAAATGATTAATGATAGAAAGAATAGCTTGGGTTTTAATTTGTACAACCATAGACTAACCACAAGTAGACTTCTCATCCCATTGTAAATTTTGAAGCTCGTTTTTCCGTCTAGTTCATGTTGGTGAGACTCTTCACTAGTATCGACGAAATTTTGTTTAATTCATTTTAGGGTCAATTTCATGATTTGTGCTTTACTGTTTGGTTATACGTATAACTAGGGTACGAGTTATTGTTTATGATTAGATCGTTTTATTTGGCTAAACGTGGTTTTAAATGACTAAAATAACAAGAAACAAATTGTAAGCAAAAAAACGGCCTATAAAGTGCACCAGACAGAACTAACAATAAAATTGTATTCAGCTAATCCATAAGGACGAGAATCTAAGGGAGTATGTTTTATTTATGGTTTATTTAAATGCAATATTGGTTTCACCTCACTAATCAAATTAACAACAGACACAACAAATAAATGCTTAAATAAATATGAAGATGTGCATATACTAATGAATGTAGACTTTACATGTTTTAAATATGCTACAAAGCAAGAATAAATATTACGAGAGCTAAATTAAAACCCAATAATGACATCACCATCAAACTACTGTTTTCCGCAACACCTCCGAACACAACCAAAGTACAACTTCACCGAAGCTTTTTCAAACTATTTGCCTCGCTGTGGTAAATCGGTCCTAATCAGTCTAGCCGTGTTGTCTGCGTCGCGGGACTTTCGTGTCGAAAAGGAGGCAAAACAAGAGACAATTAGAGAGCAGAGCTAAAAGTAAATTGAAGTGGCATCGGTTATTTTGGGAGGGAACGAGTGAGCGTTCGATAGTCCTGATCAGACGACAGACAACAGCTGGGAACCGGCAATTACAGCTGACACTGAGGACCAAAAGGCGACGGGTGCAGGGAACAGTGTGAGGGACTTTTATCAAACTATAATTGGCTATTCTTAGAAACGTGATTGATTTATTATCATCTATTATAAGCATAGATAAAAAAGTACTCCCGTAGTAGATTTCTATTACTTATGGATCAGCTGAAGATAATTTTATTGTTAGTTCTGTCCGGTGCACTGAAGTAGGTCGTGTTTTGTTTACAGTTTTTTCTTTTTATTTCAATAGTTTAAAACCTCGTTTGATTAAATAAAACGATCTGATTGTAAACAATTACTCGTCCGTTAGTTATACAACCAAACTTTAAAACACAAATCATGAAAATTAACCCTATAGTAATGGAAACAAAATTTCGTCGACACTAGCGATCATGAACTGGACACGAAAAACATGCTCAACATTTACAATGCGATGAGAAGTCTACTTGTGTTGGCTAGTCTTTAGCTCAGTGGCGGGTTGATTTAAAATTGAATTTGTATTAGAAACACAAAAATACAATTTTCTACATAATTTTGAATTACCGGCAACGTTATGTTTTTCTGGTTTCAGGATATTACAGAAGTTAATCTCATCTTTTAACTACTCTTAGACTAAATAGTTCAAAATTATGATTTAATTTTTAAGAGTTATAAGAGTTATAAGTTATAAGAGTTATAGTTGCCACAAGCAGCATAATGGATTACTGAATGCAGGTATTTAAACCATTATAAAAATTATGAAATTTTATTTTGTTTATAAATTGATGTTTTTATTTACTCCATCCCTCAAACTGTTTATAAAAAACCCAGTTGTCTGAGTAACCGATTAGTTTAGTGAAGCTTGTTGATTACTGTTTACAAGATCACAGTTAAGACCATTCAATTACAAAAACTTTAAAATATCATTGGCGTTAAAACGTTAACAATTCGCCCAGTATTTTCAATTACTAGCAACGGTATGAGTGTAAAAATATTTCTCACAAGACATAAAATGTCGTTTACAATCTTCCTTTACAAAATCCAGAGGTAGGCCTAATATCAGGCCCGGATCGATTACACGAAAGTGTGCATTTAGGATTTTAGTTTTATTAAATGCAGACAGATGGATCAGCTGATTCAAGTCTGTCAAGATCAGCTGAGTCGGTCTGTCTACAGATGACGCTGTAACAATAGTCAGCTGACGGGGAAGAAAAAGCTTCCGGCATCAAGTTGTACTTCCCCTCATTGACTAGAATAATATGTGTTATACTTAAAACGTTATTTTTAAAATGTATTTAATGTTAAATGAAAAGTATGAATCCTAATAAACGAGAAAACCCAACCGACATTTTGTAAGCTATCATTGATTTCGCTTAAAACTTTACTGTAAACTAGCCATATCATCCTGGAGAAAATACGTGTTTTGTACAATACACCCAAAACAATAGTTAGTCGTGTAACTAATGTGCAAAATGGCTCCTTGTGGAAAGAAACCTTGCGCAAGAATTAAACATAACAAGTTTCCAAAATTCATTATGAAACATAATAATACATCTTAAAATTTATACTTCCATCTTAAACACCATGCAGATGATGGATCATAGTTACGTTTTAATATATT